AATGAGCTGGTGTCACTGAATTGTAAGTGGAAAAGAGGGAGTAGGCAAGAATCGTGTCTTAGTGACCAGAGGTGGTACCAGTGCTATTCATCTCTTAAACTCCCACTGAAACGTCATGAATTTAAATTAAGAAAGCAACCCAGCTGATGGATTGATTAATGTCTGGCATCAATATCTCTAGGTGGTAAAAAAAATGAGTGAAATCTTTTAGAATCGAAGACTGCTGAAGATTGTGATGCAGTGTGTCTAAATATTTTTTTAAAAAATGGAAGCAATGTGGAATCCTTAAAATACCTACAAATTCTCATTTAATGGGATTAGAATGGATGAATGCAAAACTTCGATTAGAAGTGTGAGAAAATAGAAGAAAAAAATCAATAAGGCTAGCAGTGTGGGAAAAGGAAGTGAATGGTGACTGAACTTAGATTGAACTGAGCTTTAGCTTCTGGCAATCAGAGGTCCTGCCATGCTAGCTTGTCATGCTTTTGCATATGTTTTGTAACATTGGATAATGCCATGTGCTGCACAGCTGGTGATGTTGGGAAAAGGGATTATTTGTCATTGGCAGTTTGGGATAATGAGCAGGTGTGTGGGTAAAGCAAAACGAGCCCCAAGCTTCCAAGGTCATTCCTGTGAGAGACCTGGTATGAGGAGGAAAGACAGAATGTTTTGATTGTTGGCAAATACTCTGTGCTTTAAATAGAGAATGGCTTCAGTCCTGACCACAATGACATGCTCTAATCTGTTTGCTAAATGAAGTTATCCGAATCTACTAAAAGCTTGTGTTTTTGAAATGTAGTTCACTTTTACATTACCAACTAGCCATCCCCTGCCACGCATTGCTGTGGCCCAATCTGTATATATGTATTTTGTGTGTGTGTATATATATATTTGTGTATATGTATATTTATGTGGTTATGTGCATACATTGTAATGTAATGTATTTTTATTTTATTTTTTGGCTTTTAAGTCCCTTCTGTTGAGTTTTTCAGTGTTTTTATGAGTGATGGTCACTCGTTGGCCTGATAGATGTTTTGTGTGCAAATTTCGTGTCAATTCGTCCAGTGGTTTTTGAGTTCTGTTAATCCCACAAACGAACATTACATTTTTATTTATATATAGTCAAGTCTCCTTCTACACTATTCTGAAATGCTCTTGCCATGCAGCAGGAAAAAGATGACCAAACCAGTGAAACTGGGGCTGAGGGCAGAGAACCAGGCACTGTTTATCTAGAGAAGAAATCAAGCTGCAAGATGGGGTCAGTGAAGGCTTGGGTGATGTGTATGGACTGGACCAGGCTGCATCAAACCTATTCCTGCTGTTGTCACTGTACCCAAACAGATTGCACTGGACTTTCAGCCAAGCTTTACTTACTGTGGAGTTAAACTGGTTTATCCTGTGACAAGAATCAGAAGTGGCCAAATGTCATGAAAATAGAGCTATTATATGATATGCCCAGGTTACTTAGCCTATATAGACAGTCTTTCAGAATTGCTGACCATTCAGTAAAACCACCCTGCTTCAAATATCATAGATTAATTTCATTACAGACCATCTGAACTGGAATCTGTTCCCATGTCCTTTATGAAATTTCCCTCTCCAGTTCTACAATTCTCACTATGAATAGGAAGTCCGTTTCATGCTGAAAGTCTTACTCAAAGTATCTACTTATCGGTTCACCTGAAGTTTCATTTTACTAGTTTTGATTTCTGAAGAAGGAAGCTGCTTTAAACCCACAAATGCCATCTGGGCATAGTCTTTCTATTTGAAATAGCTATGCCCACTGATTTATCCTCTGCCTGATGCCCAATATAGATCAACACAGGTCATGACAGCTTAACGGTGGTAAACATTTTCCAACATTCAGGCTGCCTCCTTGTATAAGGTGACATGTTTAGCTCTGTGTGAGCATCATCTGCTCTGGCTGTGACATTTCCCCATACTTCTGGGAGGAGATCTAATTACAGGCCATTCAAAACACATAATGACCGAAAGCAGGAACACATAGCAACTTAATCAAAGGTGAAATGAAATAATTAGGGAAGCATTCAAAGATTCTGTCAGTGAGCACACACAAGATCCAGCAAGATATCGATTTCCTTCCTCTTCCTGTTAGCACTATATGCAGACTTACAGTATGAGTTACCACCAGAGGTAGGTACTACCTAGTCAAAATCAATTACAGTATCAATTTCTTTCAACTTAATTGAAAGAAATCTTTAACTTATGTTTGAATTTCAACATTCACTTAATACTAAAGTTGTTACTAGACTAAGAAGCAGTGTAAAAAAGCTAAACAGTTTTATGGGTTGCTGTGAGTTTTCCGGGCTGTATGGACATGTTCCAGAAGCATTCTCTCCTGACGTTTTGCCCATATCCATGGCAGGCATCCTCAGAGGTTGACGGGTCTGTTGGAAACTAGGCAAGTGGGGTTTATGTATCTGTGGAATGTCTTTGGTGGAAGAAAGAACTCTTGTTTGCTTGAGGCAAGTGTGAATGTTGCAATTGGCCATGTTGATTAGCATTTAATGACCTTGCAGCTTCAAAGTCTGGCTGGTTGCTGCCTGGGGAATCCTTTGTTGGGAGGTATTAGCAGGCCGTGATTGATTAAATAAAGAACAACACTCATCAAACAGGGGAATTCCTGACATGAATCAATCAGGGCCAGCTAACATCTCCAAACAAATTTATTTATTTATTTACAACATTAAGATGCTGCCCTTCTCACCCCGAAGGAGACTCAGAATGGCTTACAAGATATATACATACATACAATATATTATATGATTAGCATAGTACAATATCAGTATTAAATATTACTATATTGTACTATCCCATTATATTGTAATATTATTAGTAAGATTACACGTAATGTATTTCTAGGTGCAAAGATTACTGCAGACACAGACTCCAGCCAGGGAATCAGGAGACTCTTACTTCTTGGGAGGAGAGCAATGTCCAATCTTGATAAAATAGTGAAGAGTAGAGACATTACACTGACAAAGAAGATCCGCATAGTTAAAGAAATGGTATTCCCCATAGTCACCTATGGATGTGAGAGCTGGACCATAGGGAAGGAAGAGAAGGAAGATAGATGCTTTTGAACTGTGGTGTTGGAGGAAAGTGCTGAGAGTGCCTTGGACTGCGAGAAGATCCAACCAGTCCATACTTCAGGAAATAAAGCGACTGCTCATTGGAGGGAAGGATAGTAGAGGCAAAGATACTTTGGCCACATCATGAGAAGAAAGGAAAGCTTAGAGAAGACAATGATGCTGGGAAAATGGAAGGAAAAAGGAAGAGGGGCTGACCAAGGGCAAGATGGATGGATGGTATCCTTGAAGTGACTGGATTGACCTTGAAGGAGCTGGGAGTGGTGACGACCGACAGGGAGCTCTGGCGTAGATTGGTCCATGAAGTCACGAAGAGTTGGAAACGACTGAACGAATGAACAGCAAACACATGTAATGTAAATATATAATTACAATATCTTATTATTATTATTATTATTATTATTATTATTATAACAAAGGACCCCCCCCCCCCCCAGGCAATGACCACCAGGCATTGAAGCTGCAAGGCTATTCAATGCTAATCAAGCTCGCCAATATGTAACATTCACACTTGCCTCAAGCAGACAAGAGTTCTTTCTTCCACCCTGGGCATTCCACAGATATATATACATACATATACATATACATATACATATACATATATATATATATATATATATATATATATATATATATATCTGTGCCTGATTTCCAACAGACCTCAAACCTCTGAGGATGCCTGCCATAGATGTGGGCGAAACGTCAGGAGAGAATGCTTCAGGAACATACAGCCCAGGAAACTCACTGCAACCCAGTGATTCTGGCCATGAAAGCCTCTGACAACACATTAACTGATTTTATATTTCTCACCTGGTTCTTTACCAAAAGCCTAGTTTTTTTTTTAATTTTGGCAAAATTACTTCTTCCTGCCAGTCCCTTAATGTTAGGCTATTACAGTGTTTCTCAAACTGTACTTCTTCGGGTGTTTTGGACTTCAGCTCCCAGAAATCCCAGTCAATTTACCGGCTGTTAGGAATGTGGGAGCTGAAGTTATCTGGGGACCCTATATCTCCGAATCTGATCCCATGTTTTCTGTGCATCTCAGATTATCTGGCAGTGCAGAAACATATTTATTTATTTATTATTCGAACTTATATGCCGCCACTCCCCTGGGGCTCAGAGCGGCTTACAAGAATGACTAAAATCTAACACAATTTAAAAACAATTTAAAAACAGCAATATCAACAATCAAAGACCTGTCGAAACAGGTATGTCTTACATGCCCTGCGGAAAGCTGGTAAGTCCCGCAAGGCACGGACTTCAGGTGGCAGAGTATTCCAGAGTGATGGTGCCACTGCTGTGAAGGCTCTGCGTTTGGTTGTTGTTAGACACAAGGTCTTGACACTGGGAATTTCCAATAGATCTTGGTCCTCAGAACGGAGGGATCTCTGGGGTTGGTAGGGGGTGAGGCGGTCCCTCAGGTACATATAATCCAGTTTAAAGATGAAAACCTGGGATCAGGGCCTGTTTGGAAGGGACCTGATCCCACACTGATATATAATCCAGTTTAATGTGGATTTTATACAGCTGTGTGGAAAAGACTTCAGGGCTCTTCCACACAGTCCTATAACTCAGAATATCAAGGCAGAAAATCCCACAGTATATGCTTTGAACTGAGTTATCTGAGTCCACACTGCCATATAACCCAGTTCAAAGCAGATAATGTGGGATTTTATTCAGCTACGTGGAAGGGGCCTCAATTCAAGAAGTAATACCTGGTTTCCACGTTTGCAACGGTTTTGTTGATTTTTTTTCAGGAAGCAACAGAAGGCGAGGCCTGTGGTTTAGCAAAGCCAGGCTCCGCGGTTGCCATGGAGACGCACATCACTAGAGAGCCCGGGAGCAGGCGGGTCGTCTGCGCATGCGGAAGAAGGGCAGGCCGCCCCCGGTTGCCAAGGAGACGCCTCGGCTTGAGCTTCTGGCGAGGGCCTGTTTGCCGGGCGCCTCTCTTTCCCTTTGGCCATGGCTCCGAAGCGGCCCAAGAGCGGAGGCGGTGGGGGGACCCCTGCTCCCCCAGGGACTGGCTCCAAAAACTGGGAAGCCGGGCTGGTGGCTGCCCGCTTGGAAGAGGTGCGTCGGGGTCTGTTTTCTGTAGGAACAGCTGCTAGATTCATTGCCATGGCAGGCCTTCCACTGTTGAAAGGGCCATGAACTGCAAGCTCTGCTTAGGCGCAGGTACAAGCAGGCTTCACATAGGTCAGGGCCCTTCCACACACAGCCATGTAATCTAGAATATCAAGGAAGAAAACCCCACAATATATGCTTTGAACTGGGTCCACACTGCCATATAATAATAATAATAATAATAATAATAATAATAATAATAATAATAATAGTTATTTATTTATTTATTTATCGTGTCATCCGCAACCAGACCATTGTATTACATTTCTAACAGAACAAAACAAACAGACAGATAAAAAACACAAATTTTACAAACTTGGTAGTTGATTAAATGTCCTTTGACCAGTATGTGGCCACTTGGAGTGCCTCTGGTGTTGCCGCAAGAAGGTCCTCCATTGTGCATGTAGCAGGGCTCAGGTTGCATTGCAGGTCTGTGGTTTGCTCTTCTCCACACTTGCATGTTGTGGCACAACCTGGGGATCACAACCAGACACAGTGAAGACATCTGCCCTTGCGCTATGCTACTCTGCTGCTGAGTATGCATGACCAGTGTGGAACACATCTCACCACACTAAAACAGTGGATGTGGCTCTTAATGAGACATGCCGCATTATCACGGGGTGTCTGCGCCCTACACCACTGGAGAAATTACACTGCTTAGCCGGTATTGCACCACCTGACATCGCCGGGAAGTAGCAGCCAATAGTGAAAGGACCAAGGCAGAGACATCTCCAGCTCATCTGTTGTTTGGGTATCAGCCAGCACGTCAACAACTTAAATCAAGAAATAGTTTTCTAAGATCTACAGAGACACTCGCTGGAACACCTCAGCAAGCGAGAGTTCAAAAGTGGCAGGCTCAAACCCAGCACCTCAATCCGTGGGTGATACCAGATGAGAGACTCCCCCCTGGGCACACAGAAGACTGGGCGACTTGGGAGGCGCTGAACAGACTGCGCTCTGGCACCACGAGATGCAGAGCCAATCTTAAGAAATGAGGCCATATAAAGAAATCTATATAAATAAAAATGTAATGTTCGTTTGTGGATTAACAGAACTCAAAAACCACTGGACGAATTGACACCAAATTTGGAAACAAGACACCTAACAACCCAGTGTATGTCCTTCACTCAAAGAAATTGCTTTATCATTTGGGAGTTGTAGTTGCTGGGATTTATAGTTCACCTACAATCAAAGAGCATTCCGAACTCCACCAATGATGGAACTGAAACAAACTTGGCACACAGTTCTCCCATGACCAACAGAAAATACTGGAAGGGTTTGGTGGGCAGTGTCCTTTGGTTTTGGAGTTGTAGTTCACCTACATCCAGAGATCACTGTGGACTCAAACAATGATGGATCTGCACCAAACTCTACACAAATACTCAATATGCCCAAATGTGAACACTGGTGGAGTTTGGGGAAAATAGAATCTTGACATTTGGGAGTTGTAGTTGCAGGGATTTATAGTTCACCTACAATCACAGAGCATTCTGAACCCCACCAACGTTAGAATTGGCCCAAACCTCCCACACAGAAAAGCCATGTAGGCCACAGCAACGTGTGGCAGGGGACCACTAATAATAATAATAATAAAAAACAACTTTATTTATACCCTGCCATCATCTCCCCAAAGGGGACTCGGGGAGGCCAAGCCCAACAATACATTACAGTGAAATAAAACCAAAACAACAATACACACACGGTACGATTAAATCAATAAAAACATAAGAATACAATAAAAAATAGCACAACCTAAATACAATGTAAAATCAATCCCAAGGGCGGGCCAGATGTACAAGTTAAAATGATAACACTCAGGATGAGATAGGGTTGAAAAAGAAGGAGACGGCCTGTGATAAAGGAAGGGGCGAAAGGAGGGCCTCCCCCGATAGATCTGGCGGTTTGTGGAAGGAGATACGGTCACGAAGGTAAGAGAGTCCCAAACCATTTAGGACTTTATAGGTGATAACCTGCACCTTGAATTAGGACCGGAAAATAAACGGCAGCCAATGGAGCTCCTTAAACAGGGGTTGACCGCTCCCTGTAATATAACCCAGTTCAAAGTAGATAATGTGGGATTTTATTCAGCTGTATGAAAGGGGCCTCAGTCCACCCTTAAACCTCCTCCCTTTTCCTTTTTGACTGCAAGGAGGGCTTCCTCTGATGCTGTTTTCTGCTCTCTTTCCTCTCCCCATCACAGCAAGACCTTCAGGACCCTTCCACACAGCCATGAAACCCAGAATATTATGACAGATAATCCACAATATCTGCTTTGAACTGGATTGTCTGAGTCCACACTGCCATATAACCCAGTTCAAAACAGGTAATGTGAGATTTTATACAGCTATGTGGAAGGGACCTCATTTGAGCAGTGGTCCTCCAAAACCAAATTCCTGGCCATTGGACAAGCTGGCAAAGGCTTCTGGGAGTTGGAGGCCCAAACACCTGGAGGTCCACAGGTTGTGCAGGCCTGTTCTATCTACAGCAGTGGTTCTCAACCTGGGGCCCCAGATGTTTTTGGCCTACAACTCTGAGAAATCCCAGCCAGTTTACCAGCTGTTAGGATTTCTGGAAGTTGAAGGCCAAAAACATCTGAGGCCCCCAGGTTGAGAACCACTGATCTACAGTATACTACTACTACTAATAATTTTATTTCTTACCTGTCTCTTCTCATGACTTGTGGCAACTTACAAAACAATTAAATAAAACAGGAATAATCCACTAAGAAATAAAAAAAACTAAAACATAAGTAAACATTACAATATAAAACATGTTGTTGCTATCCATTATCCTGTATTATAGGCAGCCCTGGTGGCATAATGGGTTAAACTCTTGTGCTGGCAGTTTCGAATCCAGGGAGCGGGGTAACACAGCAAAAAACACTGCAAACACACACACTAAAACGTACACACCAAAACATATCCCTAATAATAATCATAATAATAATAATATCTTTATTTCCTGACTTCCCTCCTTCCCAGAGGGACCTAGGATGGTTTACACTTTGAAAAGACAAACATTCAATGCTTCAAAATGGGTACAAACACATTTTAAAAAATACAGGATTTCTTTTCATGTCAGGAGCAACTTGAAAAACTCCAAGTCGCTTCTGGTGTGAAAAAATTGGCTGCCTGCAAGCCTGCATGAGAAGTTGGAGCTGACAGATCGGCACTTACCCCGCTCCCTGGATTCGAAACTGCCAGCACAAGAGTTTAACCCATTATGCCACCAGGGGCTCCTATAATACAGGATAATGGATAGCAACAACATGTTTTATATTGTAATGTTTACTTATGTTTTAGTTTTTTATTTCTTAGTGGATTATTCCTGTTATTTTTATTTTGATGCTTAATTCATTCCTGGTAAGTTTTCTGTTGTTACTATCCCTAATACAGGATGTGGATAGTAACAACAGAAAACTTACAATGAAAGAATTAAGCATGAAAATAAAAATAAAACAGGAATAATCCAGTAGGATATAAAAAAAACTAAAACATTAGTATACATTACAATATACCCTCTAAAAGCAAATTAGGAGACATTACATTAAAAAGACATTACATTACATCCCTACAAAATACGTACTAAAACACACAAAACAGAAATCAAGCAAAGGACACTTAAAATTCATATTTAAAGGCTGTCAGAGCAGTTCTGCCGGAAGAGATTTAAAGCCTGACTTCTTTTAATTATTTTTTCTTGGTAATATATGTATGTCTACCTTTTTTCAGAATAACAAAACTCTTACTAAATTTTGTTAACTTCATGAATGCCAGGAAAATAATTCCTCTGATGGTAAAATATTGCCACCTGGTGGGAGAGAATACAAATATCACCCCTATGAACATGAAAAAAATATATTAACTGAGACGAAGGAGATATAATTATACTTTAAAAAATTAGTTAAAATGCTTTTTGTTTGTTTTGGAACAGGAAAATTGGAGTCCCAGTATTGCCTTTGTTTTTGGGAGCCAACCTGAGGATGAACTTCATATAAAGGCTTTGTCTCTTGCTGTGAAAGTGCCACAGAGGAGGCTTTTCAGTGTGGTATCCTGGGAAGGAATATTATCACAGGTATTTTGTATTTACAATTCAGGTATGGTGTTGGAGCTGAAAATGAAGAAGGCAACTGCTCTGTTTGTCACTCAGAGTGGTATCAAAAGAATTCTAGCTCCTCTAATAGGTGCTTCAGGTATATGCTGTCAAAAAGAAGCTTGGAAGGAAGCAGGATGGAAGCTTTGTCTTAGGGCTCTTCCACACGGTCATATAACCCAGAATATCAAGGGAGAATAGCACACAATATCTGCTTTGAACTGGGTTATCTGAGTCCACACTGCCATATATCGCAGTTCAAAGCAGATAATGTGGGATTTTATTTAGCTGTGTGGAAGGGGCCTTAGAAGCAGAATTTAAGGGCAAGAGCAGGGATGGGCAGTTGGGAGCCACATTGCTCTCCAAGAGACTTCACTCACTACTATTTCCAATCCTTCTATGCCCCAGGAACATTTTCCTGTTGTCTGTGCCATCCCAAAATATAACAGCATAAAACTTTAAAAAATTGCCTTTCTACTGTCTGATACCTGAATAAAAAACGGGGATTGGAATCCCTTCTGCTGAGTCTAGATAGAATACCTTATAGTTGTAACTAGCCTTTTTGTGCCTGTGTAGCTTTCAGTCAAGTAGACCTGTTAGACTGTTAGTATTACATGTCCAGGCTTTTAAAGAACAAAGTTGTTGAAAATAAGCCAGGAGGGTGCTGTATAGTATTTAAAGTATTTTAACTTTTTTTAGTATTTTAAGTGGTTTTGACCAATTTATATGTTTAATTCTATTTCAATATTTATATACTGGGAATTTTAAATTATATATTTTTAACATTGTTGTGAGCCATTTTATGTCTCAATCACAGAGATAAAACTGGGATACAAACAATAACAACAATAATACAATATAATATAATATAGCATTGATTCATATCATTATCCTTACAGATATATTTCCTTGTGACATTAACACATAAATATTTCAGTCTATCTTTATACTTCTAGTTCAGTGAACGTGCTATTACATAACGTGTAACCATGGTTTTCTTGACTGGTGAACTTACAATGAAAGAATTAAGCATGAAAATAAAAATAAAACAGGAATAATCATTCTTCACAATGATATTTTGTTCACCAAATACAGTGCTTGATAGTTTTCAAACTATCAGGATCCCTCTCTTCAGAAAAAAATAACAACAACACAGCCCAACCCAAAAAAAGGGTATTTTGGTTTTTAGGCCTATTCCTGGGGTTATTTGGGATGCTGATTCAGAAAATTGCATTGGATAAACTGAATCATCTCTAGTTTCTTAGATATGGTTATGGTTTCTATGGGCATGCAGATGGCAACTCGCATACGGTTTATGTTCTGTATCTCAAAACCTAGACCTGATAGGTTAAAACTGGTCCCATTTTTAGAATTGGCAGGTCAAATATACTTCAAAACACATCTAATATTTGAGGTGCCAAAATGTGTGTTGGCCAGTGTAATGTTGATGGTGGTGATTTTAACTATGCATGTGCTGCTTCTCGTTGTCCTTTTTTGAATTGCTGTGTCAAGAGTTCAAGTCCACCATAAAGAAGAGACATCTGAGATCATGGGCCATTCCCCCTTAACTGCATATTTAGTGTTTTTTTCCTCTCAGAATTGGGTTCTTGAGCTATTCACCCATTTCTTTCTTTCACAGTCAATTACTTCAGATTCCTGCCATTAAGAATGTTGTCTCTAACCCCCACTGTCAATGCAACCCACCCTCTTTCTCTGATGTAATCCAGCAACTATAATAGTTGTTCAGAAGTGATCCATATTCTTAAACAACAGCAAGCTCACATCAACACTTTCTGAACTCTAGAATATCTTGTTGGGGCTATTGTGCAGGGACATAATCCATATTTGTGACTTCACAGATGGCCAACGGAAATTTAAGGAAGCAGTTTATATCTTACTTATTCATTCCTATTCTGTACAATGCACTTGTTAAACCACTTCTGAAAAAGGATAATTTCAAAATCAATTTAGTATATGGAATGGGAGCCTGTTTTTCAAAGATAAAAACATTTAAATATATGGGTATCTAATATATTTCACATGAAAGACTGTTCGAGATAGCAACCTTGTTAAGCCTCCTCTATTTGATGTTTGTCTGTTTATAATGTGTTGTTTTATTTCCTGAAGTGTATGTCTTCTTTGGTTTGTAGTTTCCTTATCTCTGTATACTTGAGGCAGTGGGAGGAGCTGCAAATCACGTGACTGTTTAGAATACATTTTAAACATGATGACAGTTGAGGAATGGCCTATGAGGCTTGAGTCGGTTATAATACAGAAGTCAGTGTTAGAAGTTAGAAGACAGTTAAGTCTGAGTCAGCTTGAGTACTGAAGTTTGTTTTTCAGTCTGATGTCAGTGTAGGAGGTTAGAAAACTGTTGATGCTTGAATTCTTTGAAAGTAGACTCTTATGAAAGAGAACAGTACAGAGCAATATAATTTTTGAAGAGATTGTTAAAGACTGTAAGTTAAAGACAAAAACTGAAACATTTTAAAGTTTAACCTGACAAGAAATGTACCTGTATATTTAAATACGTGCAGTTATGAGTAAAACAAACAAATTATTTTAAAGGAAGTCTACTTGAACCTTTGTCTACTGAAAGCATTGAATAGAAACAAGATATTTATGAGCCCAGCGATCATCCATTACCTAATATACTAAAGGAACACCTCCATAACTCTGCTACCCAATAGGTTATGATCCTAAAAGGTCATAATCCATAATCATCAATAGGTTGTGATCCTAACGTCAGTAGTCTATCGTTTTTTAATGTTGCCCACTCCCTGACCCAGGTCAACGCCGTGGTGTCATAATAAAGCTGGAGGTCTGGTAATCCTAGTAGTAACACAATAGGGGAAACTAAGATGGTGGGCATATTGTAGAACATTGTGGGTATTTATTTCAAATAGTGTCGATGTTTTTGTACGTCTTGTATGTGTGTTTGTTGGGGCAATCGCTGCCCCTTTTATATTATAAATTAATAAAAATTATTTTTTAAAAAAATAGGTTGTGATCCTAACAGGTCATATCCTTATCCCAATAAAGACAACTGAATATTAAAAATTAATTTAAACTGTGAATCCAGGAAATTATTTCCATTACATTAGTTTGTTGCCTTGTGTTTTTATAGATCATGGAGACTGCAGATGTAAAAGTAAAAAAGACAAAAGAAAAAGAAAAAGAAACACCCTTGTTTTATGAGGTGAGTGAAAGCATTTTTTGGAACCATTCTTCACAATGTTTATTCCAGCTTTTGCTAGATGTGGATGCTGTCATTCAGTGAACTTTAGTTTAATATATCCTCTGATCTCCTTCCTTACTGCATTTGTTTCCTTTGACAGGGAGAAATATGAAATGTTGATATGCTGAGGGGGTGGTTGCAAAAGTGACAGGATAGGGTGAGGTGGGGATGCTTCTTGGTGATGTTCAGTTGGACAGAGACTTAATCCTCTGCTTTGTATTCATAGACTTGCCTTAATTTCCCTTTATGGTGTTTTGTTTTGTTTTGCTGTTGTATCATGTAAGTACTGTAAATATTTAATAACAACAACAACTTTATTTTTATATCCCATCCCACCTCCATCTCCCCGAAGGGACTCGGTGCAGCTTACATGTGGACAAGTCCAATCAACATAGTTAAAATATAACACCTTAAAATTCATAAAACAGCAACAAGCAAAATAAAACAACAGCATAACACAATATACATCCAGTAGCCTGAAACAGCAACAGTTCTGGGCTCGGGTGAGTCGGGGGGGGGGGGGGGGTACAATAGGTTGTGATGATAGGGCTGATAGATTGTGCAAGTGCCAGATGACAAAAAATTGGGATAAAGGGCAATAAGAGGTGGAACACTATATCTGTGGGAAAGGAGCAGTAGTAAAGTACAGGGACTGAAATTTGGGTCATAACTGGGAGCCAAAATGAAAGCACTTCTTACTGCTATCTGGCATATTACTTGGGGAGCTGACTCGTTTTTCCTGTAATACAAAGCTTACACACTGTTATTTAAGGCATTACTTAAAATCTTGATCATTCTGTTTTTCATTTCAGGTACTAGAAACAGCAAAAAGCATTATGGATTCTGGGGAGCAGCTTCCTATAACACTGATTGGAAAGTTAATTAAATATCAGATGCTTTGCATCAAGCAAAAAGACTTGCAAAGAAGAGCTGCTGAAAAGAAGGTATTTTAGACTGCAGTCCTATACACACTTTGAACTCTCCCACTAAATTTGGTGGCAGTTGTTTCCGAAACACATGCAGTGTTGCATTATATTTCAGAAGCTGTGTTTGTGGTGGATATTTATTGTTGTTGCACTTCTTCAAGGCATTTCCAACTTATGGCATTAATATAATGAGATTGTTTGCCTTTGTCTTCCCAAGAGAGTGTGATTTGCTCGAGGTCGTCCTACATGGATGTATGTATTTATGTATCAGATTGACTAAAATAATAATAATAATAATAAAACTTTATTTATACCCTGTTCCATCTCCCCCAGGGAGACTCGGGGCGGCTTACATCAGGCCACGCCCATCAGTACAGTAAACGCAATATAACACAAAAGCATAACAGAACTAGAAAATAAAATAAAATGCAAAACCAATACAAAATGCAACACAGCAATATAAAATCGAACATTAAACACACAAAATTACACTGGGCAGGGCCAAATTTAAGGATAAAATTTTAAAACACTGGGAGATTGGGCAGTGTGAATTATCGGGAAGGTGGATCCAGAATGAGGAAGGATTTAATTTCACGAACCATAAAATAAAGTGCTTCTGATGTCATTTTGTGCAAAATTTAGTCAGGGAGTATCTGACCAATATCATTTCTGGGTTGTTGTGAATTTTCTGGGCTGTATGGCCATGTTTCAGAAGCATTCTATCCTGATGTTTCGATCACATCTATGGCAGGCATCCTCAGAGGTTGTGAGGTCCATTGGAAACTAGGCAAGTGAGGTTTATACCTCTGTGGAATGTTCAGGTTGGGAGAAAGAATTCTTGTCTGCTTAAGGCAGATGTGAATGTTGCAATTGGCCACCCTGATTAGCATGGAATAGCCTTGCAGATTCGAAGCTGGCTGCTTGCTGTCTGGGGGGGGGGAATTCTTTTCTGGGAGGTGTTAGCTGGCCCTGATTGATTCTTGTCTGGAATTTCCCCTGCTTTTTGAGTGTTGCTCTTTATTTACTGTCCTGATTTTAGAGTTTTTTTAAATACTGGTAGCCGGATTTTGTTCATTTTCATGGTATCCTCCTTTTTTTGCAATTGTCCACATGCTTGTGGATTTCAATGGCTTCTCTGTGTAGCCTGACATGATAGAGTACTCCAGTATTTCTGTGTTCTCAAATAATATGCTATGTCCAGGTTGGTTCATCAGGAGCTCTGCTATGGCTGACTTCTCTGGATGAATTAGTCTGCAGTGCCTTTCATGTTCCTTGATTCGTATTTGGGCATTGCTGTGTTTGGTGGTCCCTATGTAGAATTGTCCACAGCTGTAAGATATACGGTAGACTCCTACAGAGGTGAGAGGATCCCTCTTGTCCTTTGCTGAACATAGCATTTATTAGATTTTCTTGGTGGGTCTGTAGATAGTTTGTAGGTTGTGTTTCTTCATCAGCTTCCCTCTGCTGTCAGTGGTTCCCTTACTGTATGGTAGGGATACTTTTCCTCTGAGTGGATCTTTGTCTTCACTTTCGTGGCTTGTTCTTGGTCTTGCAGCTCTTCTGATGTCTGCGGTGGAGTATCGATCGGCCTGTAGAGCCCAGTTTAGGTGATTCAGTTCATCTTGGAGGAGGTGGGGTTCGCAGATTCTTTTTGCATGGTCTGCCAGGACTTTAATTGTGCTTCTTTTTTACCTGGGTGATGGTTGGAGTTTTTATGTAAGTACCTATCTCTGTGTGTAGGTTTTCTGTAAACCATGTGGCCCAATTGTAGATTGGGTTTTTGGATGACTAGGACATCAAAAAAGGCAGTTTTCCTTCATTATCTTTTTCCATGGTGAATTGGATGTTTGGGTGGATGCTGTTGAGGTGGTCCAGGAACTTGCTTAGTTCTTCTTCTCCATGGCTCCAAATGGTGTAGGTGTCACCATTATTCTGAACCATATAGTGGGCTTTTTGTTGTTTCCAGGGCCTGTTTTTCAAATGTTCCATGTAGAAATTTGCTATGGCTGGGTTGAGAGGGCTCCCCATGACTACTCCATTTTTTTCTTCATAGAATTCATTGTCCCACTGGAAGTAGCTTGTGGTGAGACAATGGTGAAATAGGACTGTGATGACTTCTGGGAAATTTTGGTTGATTTTAAACAGAGGCTGGATGGTCATCTGTCAGGGGTGATTTGAATGCAACATCCCTGCTTCTTGGCAGGGGGTTGGACTGGATGGCCCATGAGGTCTCCTCCAACTCTTTGATTCTATGATTCTATGATTCTATGAGTACGATGGTATCTGCTATCTGGACTTTGATAAATAGAGATACCACATCAAAGCTGATCCGTTTGTTGTGGATACAAGAAGGATGCAGTTAATCATAGATAGATAAATAGATAGATAGACACACATATGCATCCTTGGTCCTTAGTACTCAGAGAATAGCAATTTAGTGAGGGAGCTCGAGTAGAGTATTCTATTCCATCGTCCTTTCTTCCTTGTGTGTTTGACCTACCTCTTCTTCTCTTCCTATTTGATCTTTGCCCATTCTGTCTCCATATTTCTTCAAGAGTTCAGTTGGTTTTAGCACTGTATTTCATCTAAATCTCTTTTGGTTAAACATAAGAGATATTCCTTCCATCTTCTCCCATCAAAATCAAAATTCTTTTGTCATTTTTTTGGTATAACCCTGCAACAGAATATGATTGTGTTTCAAAAGCAGACCTTTAAGTATAGTTTTTCAATTTTTACATAAGATATATATCTTTTGGTAGGCAACTGAAGACCAAGACAAGGTGAAAGAAGAAAAAGGGAAAGGGAAAGGGAAACCTAGCAAAAAAGAGAAACCCCCTAGTGCCAAGTCTGGAAAAGGAGGGAAAGGCAAGAAGGCAACTGAATCACCAAATATATCTGCAAGTACAGTTAAAAAAGATACCAAGCTTAAACGACGTGGAGAAGATGATGATCTTGATAAGTATATTGGTGTGTAAAACATAAATTATTAACACACACTTTCTCAAAAGTATTTAAATTGTTTTATTTATTGTTTTATTTTGATTTTACGGAAGGGAAACCTACATTTAAGCTAATTCTAATTCTAAAAACAAAAATATTTTAATGGAATCTTAATAATTGAAGGGCTTTGTAAGGGCTATCTAATTCAACCCCTTTCTATGCAGGAATACACTACTAAAGAACTCACAGGAAATGCACTCATCCAACCTCTGTTTAAAAATTTCTAAAGAATGAGACTGAGGTAGTCTCTTCCACTGTTTAAGGGTTGTTAGTAAAGAAATGCTTCCTAATGCATAAAAAACCATCCCCTCCTCCCTCTCTGTGTGTGGCTCTTGTTCAAGCTTCCTAGAGCAATGTGTCAAACTCAATGCCTGCAGGCCGAATCTGGCCCGCCATGTGGCCCTCCTGATGCTGGACTGCAGCTCCTGTATTTTTCTTCATTAAACACCGTGACTAGAGCTAATGGGATTTGTGATCTATCTGGAAGGCTACAGTTTGTTCTCTTTAGTCAGGATAGTGAGATTTGAATTTAAATACAAAGCTTGTGGATATGATGCCTGACTTTATAGCAGTGTTTCCCAACCTGTAGTCTGTGGACCACCAGTGCTCCGCAAGAACGGAAACATGGTCCAGAGCTTCACCATTACTACACCACTGCCTTGAAACTACGTGGCAATGAGAGCAACTCTTATAGTGCCAAGGCAACAGGGATGTTGGGAAGGAAGAGGCTGACTAGCTACGAAAGATTACTACTACTACATCAGCTCTAGATTATTAAATATGGGTTTCTGTGAAAGAGCAGATGGTGACTACTGGATGGCATATGTTCTGTATCAGAAACTATAACTGATGTGATCTATCCAATGCAGTTTACAGTTTTCTGAATCAACACCCCAATTAACCAAACCAAATCTAAAATTGTCCAAAAACTGATTCGTAACCCTTTTGTTACTAATGTTGGAGAGTTGGTCCCTGGTCAAAGTAGTCCCTGGTCAAGTGGTCCCTGGACAAAAAAAGGTTAGTCACTTTAACCTTTCCCTGATTTCGAAGGCACAAGTGCTGTTGGGTTGCAATTCCCAATATCCCCAGGCCACATGGCGGATAGTAAAAAAGAATGGGATTTCTCAGTTCTTGTGGGTTTTTTCGGGCTATATGGCCATGTTCTAGAGGCATTTCTTCCTGACGTTTCGCCTGCATCTATGGCAAGCATCCTCAGAGGTGAGGTCTGCTGGAGCTGGGAAAAAAGGGGTTTATATATCTGTGGAATGACCAGGGTGAGACAAAAGGCTTTTGTAAGTTGGGCTAGGTGTGAATCTTTTCAGCTGACCACCTTGATTAGCATACAATGGGCTGACTGTGCCTGGAGCAAACTCTTCTTGAAAGGTGATTAGATGTCCCTGCCTGTTTTCCTCTCTGCTGTTTTAATTTTAGAATTTTTTAATACTGGTAGCCAGATTTTGTTCATTTTCATGGTTTCTTCCTTTCTGTTGAAATTGTCCACATGTTTGTGGATTTCAATGGCTTCTCTGTGTAGTCTGACATGGTGGTTGTGAGAGTGGTCCAGCATTTTTGTGTTCTCAAATAAAATGCTGTGTCCAGGTTGGTTCCTCAGGTGCTCTGCTATGGCTGACTTCTCTGGTTGAAGTAGTCTGCAGTGCCTTTCATGTTCCTGGATTCTTGTTTGGGCGCTGCGTTTGGTGGTCCCTATGTAGACTTGTCCACAGCTGCATGGTATACGGTAGACTCCTGCAGAGGTGAGAGGATCCCTCTTGTCCTTTGCTGAACGTAGCATTTGTTGGATTTTCTTGATGGGTTTGTAGATTGTTTGTATGTTGTGTTTCCTCATCAGCTTCCCTATGCGGTCAGTGGTTCCCTTGATGTATGGCAGGAACACTTTTCCTCTGGGTGGATCTTCATCTTTACTCTCGTGGCTTGTTTGTGGTCTTGCAGCTCTTCTGATATCAACTTTGACATATGACAGCAGCTATGTAAATCGGAAGCCCTTCCACCCAGGCTTTATGGACTCCCCAAAATCCATAAGGACTCCACCCCACTCAGACCCATCGTGAGTGCCATTGGGTCCCCCACATATGACTTAGCCAAATTTCTTGCTGCACAGTTACAAAGCCACATTGGGCTCACAACACACTACATCAAGGACTCAGCCCACTTCATTGAAAAAATCAGCAATCTCAAGCTAAATACAAATGACAAACTGATCAGCTTCGATGTGGTGTCTCTATTTACCATGGTCCCAGTTGCAGACACCATGGCACTCATCAACCAGAGGTTCCCAGAAGACATCACGGCGCTGTTTCACCATTGCCTCACCACCAGCTATTTTCAGTGGGACAATGAATTCTACGAACAGAAAGATGGAGTAGCTATGGGGAGCCCTCTCAGCCCAGTCATAGCTAACTTCTACATGGAACAATTTGAAAAACAAGCTCTGGAAACAGCAACCAAAAAGCCCACTATATGGTTCAGATATGTGGATGACACTTTCACCATTTGGAGCCATGGAGAAGAAGAACTCAACAGGTTCCTGGAACATCTTAACAGCATCCACCCTAACATCCAGTTCACTATGGAAAAAGAAAAGAAGGAAGACTGCCTTTTCTAGATGTCCTAGTCATCCGCAAACCAGATCAACAATTGGGTCACACCGTTTACAGAAAACCCACACACACAGATAGATATCTACATAAAAACTCCAACCATCACCCAAGTCAAAAAAGAAGCACCATTAAAGCCTTGGCAGACCGTGCAAAAAGAATCTGCGAAGCCCACCTCCTCCAAGATGAACTGAACCACCTCAACTGGGCTCTACAGGCCAATGGATACTCCACCTCAGACATCAGAAGAGCTGCAAGACCAAGAACAAGCCACGAGAGTCAAGACAAAGACCCACCCAGAGGAAAAGTGTTCTTGCCATACATCAAGGGAACCACTGACCACATAGGGAAGTTGATGAGGATACACAACCTACAAACTATCTACAGACCCACTAAGAAAATTCAGCAAATGCTACGTTCAGCAAAAGGACAATAGGAATCCTCTCACCTCTGCAGGAGTCTACCGTATACCATGCAGCTGTGGACAAGCCTACATAGGGACCACCAAACGCAGCCTTGCCCAAACACGAATCAAGGTACATGAAAGGCACTGCAGACTACTTCAACAGAGAAGTCAGCCATAGCAGAGCACCTGATGAACCAACCTGGACACAGCATTTTATTTGAGAACACAAAAATGCTGGACCACTCTCCCAACCACCATGTCAGACTACACAGAGAAGCCATTGAAATCCACAAACATGTGGACAATTTCAACAGAAAGGAAGAAACCATGAAAATGAACAAAATCTGGCTACCAGTATTAAAAAATTCTAAAATCAAAACAGCAGAGAGAAAAACAGGCAGGGACATCTAATCACCTTTCAAGAAGAGCTTGCTCCAGGCACAGTCAGCCCATTGTATGCTAATCAAGGTGGTCAGTTGAAAGATCCACACCCAGCCCAACTTACAAAAGCCTTTTGTCTCACCCTGGTCATTCCACAGATATATAAACCCCTTTTTTCCCCAGCTCCAGCAGACCTCACCTCTGAGGAAGCTTGCCATAGATGCAGGCGAAACGTCAGGAGAAATGCCTCTAGAACATGGCCATATAGCCCGAAAAAACCCACAAGAACTGAGTGATTCCGGCCATGAAAGCCTTCGACAATACATAGAATGGGATTTGTTTTCTATAAATCTGAGCGTTGACCATTATGGAAAACATTATAGTTGGCTCTCTATGGATTCTCCACCTATAGATTCAGGGGCTCTTTGAAGGCAACAAAAAAGCTGATGTGGCCTTCAATTAAAATAAGTTTGATACCTCTGCTCTCATTCTCTATTTTGGAAAGCTATCTCATCCATCAACTGAACTTCAGGTTTTTTTAAAAAAATTATTTTTTATTAGAATACTTTTTCAGAATAATACAAAATACAAAGTACAGCGTAGATACAAAGAGGGAAAGGGGGGGGGTTCACTATACATTAGAGTTTAAAAGACAGAGGGGGGAGGGGAAGGGGGGAGGGGAAGAGGGGGATTGAGGAGGGGGGGAAGGAGGGGATGGGAAAAGAGGTAAGATAAGAGGGGGAGGAAAGGGGCTAAGGGGACATGGAAGTTGGGGGGGGAGGAAAAGAGTGACTTCCAATTCCGTTTTCACCGCGTTCTCGGTTTGATTTCTTCTTAACTTAGTGCGATCTGAGGCCTATCCCTTTAGGCTCTAAGTTATTTCTTATTTAGGTTTCTTTTATCTCGCTATGTTTCTTGTCTTCTCCTAAAAAACCATTTAGTAGGCTCCAGTCCGTCCTCTTTAAGGGACGGCCGTTAGAGTCTTTCAGAGCATAAGTTAGCCTAACCATTTCTCTTGTCTCTAATATTTTGTCCATCCATTCCGTTGTTCCGTTTTCTCTTTCAGTGAATCAGTTTGATAATGAACTAGATTGTTTTTGTCAATATTTTTTTTGGGGGGGGGGGGGAAGAAAGCTTTCTGTGAGTATAGTTGTGGAAACCCAGATTTTACACAGATATGCAGACCATTTTGAATATATTTATGCATCAACTGAAACTGCTGATTCAAATTATATTTTAATGCATGCATTTGGATGTTATTTTGCACAGATGATGAACCAGATGATGGTGCTCAGTATTATTTCATAGTGTGCGGATTTTACTCTCCCCAACTTTTGCCTATACTATCTGATCTTGGAGTCAATATTGGAAGTGTCATTAAAATATCTTCTGACAATTATGGACCACTCAAGACCCATCTGGAAGCAATTGCCCAACAAGAAGAACTTGTCCTTGGAGTAGAAGGTGAGCTGGTAACATGCATTTGGTAACATGCATTTGGTGTGAATAAAAAGATTGTTGCTGTTTATATAGGCTTGCAGTGATACAATGTTCTAATAGATTTTGTATTAGTTTTGTATTAGTTTTTAAACCCAAGTAATTAAGTGTATATTTCAGTTAATTTGATATTTCTAGATTTTATTTTGAAGTTATATATAAGTTTGGTTTACCTGGACAGTCAGTGAAGCATAAAAATGGAAGTAGTGCAAAGTAGACTTTTGCACGATTCTGCATTTAAGAGTTTTGTTTTGCTTTGCTTTGTTTTGCTTTGTGAGGCGGGCCTACAGTGGACAGAGATTAAATCCAGAGATTTGTCTGTTAAAGGGTTTGATAGAAGTAGAGCTAGGGCCAGGTAGGAACGAGATCGAAATTTGCCAATTATAGCCATATTTGAAATTCCCAGTCTCTTGAAAAACTGTGTCTGGGAATTTATATGGGAAGTCCTACCTTGTAGAAACATTAATTTTGTTAAAACCAGAATCACTTTTGAACTATGCAACATTTTAACTGCATGTAGGGAAAACCGTATACCAGAGGTCCTCAAACGTTTTAAACAGAGGGGCGGATCACAGTCTCTCAGACTGTTGGAGAGCCGGACTATCATTTGAAAAAAAAAATCATGAATGAATTCCTATGCACACTACATGTAGTGCAAAAAACACTTTAAAACAATACAATAATTAAAATGGAGAACAATTTTAACAAATATAAACTTATTAGTATTTTAATGGGAAGTGTGGGCCTGCTTTTGGCTGATGAGATAGGATATTTGTTGTTGTCTGCTTTTAAGTTGTTTCAGGCTTAGGTTGACCCTGAGTGAGGGCCGGGTAAATGACCTTGGAGGGCCATATCTGGCCCCTAGGCCTTAGTTTGATGACCCCTGCCGTAACCCGTTCCAAAACAAGCATGCCTGTGGTATTTTTCATTATGAATCTGTAGTTACAAAAGAATTATGCAAAATAAATAAAATGTTAATCTGTGATGTTTTTGCACTCTCATTGCAAAAAATCTGATATGGTGTAGCCTACCATGGCTGACATGGAAATATGTAGATCACTAGAAGACTAGGGCCTCTTCCACACAGCTGAATAAAATCCCTGGAATATATGGCAGTGTGGACTCAGATAAACCAGTTCAAAGCAGATATTGAGGCCCCTTTCACACAGCTGTATAAAATCCACATTGAACTGGATTACATAGCAGTTTGGACTCAGATAACCCATTTCAAAGCAAATACTGTGGATTATCTGCCTTTATATTCTAGGTTATATGGCTGTGTGGAAGGGCACTGAGGGTCCTTCCAGAAAGGCTCTATATCCCGGGATCTAATCCCAGTTTTTCTGTTTATCCCAGATTATCTGACAGTACAGACTCATATAATCCAGTTTAAAGCAGAAACCCTTGGATCAGATCCTGGAATATAGGGACTGCCTGGGAGGCCCCTGAGACACAGGCCCCTTTCACACAGCTGTATAAAATCCACATTGAATATGGTAGTGCGGGCTCAGATAATCCAGTTCAAAGTAGATATTGTGGATCATCCACCTTGATATTCTGGGTTATATGGCTGTGTGGAAGGACCCAAAGAACTGCAGCTTTTCCCCAGTGATTTTTACTCTGTCACCATCTACTCTTATGTGATGGCACTGCAATTTCCTTATTCTTCAGCGTAGCCAAGGCATCTTTGTTAATTTATTATTTTAAAATATGTATGATATAGTACAGAATATGATTATACAAATGTTGTGGCTCCCATCCCTCCAAGGATCCTGTTCACATCCTCAGTCTACACAAATTAAAAACTCTCCATCAACAGTGTACAAGCAGAATCCAGGGTTATATGCACTGGAATTTATCAACAGCAGCATCCAAGTTGGAGCAGATGTGAACTACTTTATTTACAAAGTGCCAAGCAAATTCTCCACAGCAAGTTGTTGAGTGGTCGGGATTTCTCCCTTGTGGACCAGTATATAGTAACCCTCTTACCACCCAAACAATTCTGCAGGGTGTTTCTTTGTAAAGGAAATGATGGCAGCAAAAACAAATGTTGTCCTCTACCACAGACTAGGCCTTCAAATATTTGGAATGTTAGTTTTGAAAAAAATATTCCAAGGCAAGACTCTCATATATACATATGATGCAGGCTGCTATCATAAATATGTACTTAAGCAGATTTCAATTAAATATTTCTGATAAAGAAACACAAATATAGACTCTCATATTTGTGTTTCTTTATCAGAAATGAAATATTTAATTGAAATCTGCTTAAGTACATATTTATGATAGCAGCCTGCAGCAGAGAAGCTGATGCTGTTTTTTTTTCTTTTAGCCAAAGCATTCCAAGTTACACATTTTCCATGTAAATAAAAATGTAATGGTGGTTTAATTCTAGCTGTCGAAACAGAAAAGAAGAAGAAGGAAAAAGTGGTTAAGGACATGGAAATTTTCTGGAAATACTTGGAACCAATTTTGAACAGTGGGAAACCAGGATCAAATCTCTTTCATATTGCTAGACTTCAGCACACAGTCCATGAGTCTATCTTCCCTGCAGATTGGAGTAATAATGATATGATGGTTAGTTATCTCTTCTTTTTCTGCAAAGTATCTGTGTTAAGGAAAAAAGCAATCATTTGTTTATATTGTTTATATATTGTATTTGTTTATTTACATTCCATCTTTTACTTGAAATTTGGACTCAAGCCCCATCTACACTGCCATATAATGCAGTTTGAACTGGATGATAGGGTCAGTGTGAACTCATATAATGGAGACTGAACTGCATTGAACTGGATTATATGAGGCAGCAATGCCATATAATCCAGTTCAATGCAGTTAATCTGATTTCTGAAACAGCATTACATAGCAGTGTAGATAGGGCCTCAGATGCACACTCACTTTTCCTATTGTGACAGTTTGTGAAGGAGTTAATGCTGATATTGGTAATCTTCTTTTTCTATGTTGGGCATGGTTGTATGGAATATGTTATTTTTTTCCTGTGATCTACATATTATAAACCTTATGTTTTTGTTTTTATTCCCCTCTTTTTGTGTAGCTTGAATTTGGAACAGACATATTTGAAAATGTGGCATGTTTAATGTATGACTGCCTGGATTGGAAAAGACAACATCAGCATTACCTGAAATCCACTCGATTTGTTAACGTCCCTGTAGTAGAAAAGAAAGGCAAATTACCAACTGAGGTCAGATATTGTATTCATACTAAGCAGTATATGTACCCACACACACACACAAATGCTATAAAACATCCCATTGAAAGTACCTCTTTGCATCAGTTACCATGCAGAGCATGCATTGCAAGTCATTACAGATTGTTTACAAGTTCCAAACATTTGACTTATGTATGACACCAAGTTACAAATATTGGTGGTGGGGGGTGCTAGGTGGGTTAGGTAATGGGCACTCCAGCTACCAGCACATGCTGGGCCTTTTTGCAGTATTTGAAAATGTTTAAGCATTTGCATGCAGGGGCAAAAATAAATAATATGTTAAGACAAACATCTGTCCAAGTTGCATTTAAAGTAGAACTTTTAAAAAGGTTTGGTTAGTATTGTGGGTGGTTAGAGCCACCATGATATTTTTATTGCTCTCTGTAAAATCATTAGGAATATTTAATCTCTCTGATTCATTAGGCAGTTTTGCAGTTCTGTTAAATAAGCAGGCCACCTAGGGTCCGCATAAAGTAATTGATTGCCTCCATGGTATCCTCCCCAATACAAAATATATGGCCAGGCGAGCTTTGTTGGCTGGAAATCCTCAAACTTAGAATCCCCTCCAAATATACGTCAGAGTTTTGCAATCATTTTGTCACAAACCCTCATGTTTTACAATACCTGCTAAAATTAAACACATCAGCTTAAGTTTCTCACTTAACACCCTGAAAACACACCTTGTCTGATTTGTTGCAAACCTATATGAAACTTTTGCACTTGTTTTGTAACCCAATCTCTGTTTTGCAAGGCCTCCAAAACTGAGTAATGGAAGTCTTAGGCCCTTTCCACACAACTGAATAAAATACCACATTATCTTTTTTGAACTGGAATATATAGCAGTGAGGACTCAGATAACCCAGTTCAAAGCAGATATTGTGGGATTTTCTGCCTTGATATTCTGGGATACAGGGCTTTGTGGAAGGGCCCCAGGGCATTTTCTACACTGTCATATAATCCAGATTATCAAAGTAGATAATCCACATTATCTGCTTTGAACTGGATTATATGAGGTCACACTACCAGATGATCCAGTTCAAAGCAGATTATCTGGATCTTATATGGCAGTATAGAGGAGGCTTTTATGGGAAAATATTGTAAAAATTTGGTAAACCAGGTTTGGAGGGGACTCCAAATTTCAGAAGATGAAAGAATGCTTCAAAAGAAGATGAAAGAATGCTTCAAAAATAAAGATTGTAAATCTTTGGGTTGAGTTAAGATATTGGCCTACAGCTTTCTCCTGAGTGAGCACACAGATGGATCTGAGGCCTTGAATCAAATTAGGAAGGGTACAAACACACAGGTATACTTTGCAATAGGTCCATCAGCCCAAAACTGTTTTTCATTCCAGTCTAATCACAGTACTGGTTAAAATGGACACATTTTATTCAAGGAATTCAGAAATTTATACAGCTTTCAGCTCTACATGAATAGACAGAAAAGTTAATGAGTAAAACCTATTAAACATGTGCTGCAAAGTTTAGAGAACAAAGTCTTCATGATCCTTACAATAACTGATTTTCTCAGGGTAGGATAGCCAGTTACAAACTAGTTCTCACTATTGTACCCAAACATATTTCTTGCAATTACAGAAATTATCAAAAAATCAAGTGAAATAGATTCAAAACGGATTCAGAGATTTAACTCATAAAATGACTTTGTTTAGAATGGCTTTGTTTAGAAATAAAAGACAAGATGCTCAAATCTACTTTTGCAGCCAACACAAAGTTTTTGTGAGCCATCTTGCCCACATTGATAGCAACATCAACATTCCACTAATTGAAGAGCCATGACAAACCCATGAAAAAAATCTGTAGGGGAGCTGATTTTTAATCCTTGTTTTCCTTATCCTAGATACCAATTGTTGTTCCAGCTACTCCTGGAAAGAAAAAACATGCTGTTGAAGAGCCTGTTGCAGCACCGGTATTAACTACAGGTAGGCTGCTTATTGCCTAGCAACATTTACTTGTGGTATTTATAGCTAACACATTGGAAGACAGGAACAGCATTTGAAATAACCTTGATAAAATCTGAACTTTGACATTTGGGTGTTAATTTACTTTGAAATGCAACATAACTATTTAGAAATCATTGCAGCTTCTAACATTGGTTTAATGGCTTTCTTGTTTCTTATGTTTATCTTATTTGTTATTGATAATATGGATGCAGGGACCTCTGCAACTGTAAACCTCACTTATCAAGGCAGAATAATATGTAGATGATGGTGCGTGATGAACTTTGGCCTTTAGCACCTAGGGTAGGCAGAAGACAAACTGGAATGTGTTGGTTTGGATGTGTTCTGATTTTTAATATATTATGAACAGTTTCTGATTCCTCTCCCCTTTTTAATAACATGAACATATGGAGCACCATAATTTAGAGATTGGGGGATCTTCATGTTGGAGTAAGCCAGTCGTTCTCAACCTTTCTAATGCCGCAACCCCTTAATACAGTTCTTCATGTTGTGGTGACCCCCAGCCATAAAATTATTTTCATTGCTACTTCATAACTGTAATTTTGCTACTGTTGTGAATGATAATGTAAATATCTGATATGCAGGAGGTATTTTCATTCACTGAACCAAATTTGGCACAAATACCCGATTTAATACTGAGGGGTTGTGGGAGATTGGTTTTTGTCATTTGGGAGTTGTAGTTGCTGGGATTTATAGTTCACCTACAATCAAAGAGCATTCTGAATTCCACCAATGAAGGAACTAAACCAAACTTGGAACACCTAACTCCCATGACTAACAGAATACACTGAAAGGGTTTGATGGCTATTGACCTTGAGTTTTGGAGTTGTAGTTCACCTACATCTAGAGAGCACTATAGACTCAAACAATGATAGATCTGGACCAAACTTAGCACGGATACTCAATATGCCCAAATGTGAACACTGGTGGAGTTTGGGGAAAATAGAGCTTGGCGTTTGGGAGTTGTAGTTGCTGTACAAGTTATAGTTGTTCACCTACAATCAAAGAGCATTCTGAACCCCACCAATGATAGTATTGGGCCAAACTTCCCACACAGAACCACCATCTTGAAGGGATTTGCTGGCATGAGCCTCTCTTCAGCCTCGCATGCTCTCCCTTGCCTGCATCTGCGCACCATGCTGCCATGCACCGAGCATGCCTGCTCTCCCCTTCCCACTTGGAGTCTCAGAAACAGCCCTCCCCTTGGCTGAGAGACTGGCCAATCACAGCAGAGAAGGGCTTTGGTGGGAAAATTCGCCATCCATTTCCAAAAACGAAGAGAAGGCAGAGAGATCTTCAGCCTTCTCTGCCAACAGGGTTCCAAAGACCATCCAACATCTATGTTTTCTGGTGGTCTTTGGTGACCCCACTGAAACCCCCTTATGGCCCTCCAGGGGTCCCAACCTCCAGGTTGAGAAATGCTGGAATAGGCTAAGATTAATTTGACTGGTAAGTTTAAAGAATTAATGGAATGGATTTTTATATGTCAAAGAATTGTTAACAAGTACTAAACATAATTACTGAACGGAGCATATAAGCAGTATGAAATGCAGAACATATGAAGAACAGTATTTAAAAAATTCCAAAATCAGGCCAGTAAATAAAGAACAACACCAAAAAAGGGTGTATTCCAGACAAGAATCGGTCAGGGCCAGCTAACACCTCCCAACTAAGGCAGGAAGCAGAGTACTACTCACAAACTTTTACACATCCATCATGAAAGACTTAATTTGAACACAGACAAGGGAAATGTTAAATTGGAAATCAAACTTCAGCAATTTTTTTCAGGTGGTCATGGGGGGTGGGATTGGATTACTTCATCATAGTAATCAGCTTCTTCTCCCTCCAAAGTACTAGTGATCAAAACAGTTCAGGTGGTGCAGTTAACACTATATGAAATTGACATGTACCAGTATTTCTATTTAAAGAGTTTTATTTTGATAAAAATATTACTTTTTAATTACAGATGTGGATATGAGATATTACAATGATCTTCTTAGTCCAGTTCCTGAAGAAGTTGTTTCTGTTGCATTAATATTGGATTGCATGCTACAGCAGGTAAGCAAAATCTTCCTTTTACCCAGGAATAGAAAAGAAACTGGCTCCTAATTGTTAAAGGTTTTCCTGTAGTTATCATATATTTGTCTTTTGGATGAGGTAACTCTGTGTTACTGAGATATAGATGGATGTGAAGCACGCGTGTTTCTTCACCCCTATCTTTTTACACTGCTAGTTAGGTAATATGGAATATGCCCAGGATCACCTGCCATCAGCCTCTGGCCACCTCAGTACCCAAATCATGATGGAGATTAAATCAGATAGTCAAAATTACCAATAACACCCCATTGAAAACATTCTTACATATTGGAATTTTGGTATGGGAAATGGGCAAATACTTTGGTAGCCCTTTAACCTGTTTGTTGTATGCATTGATAGATACAGCAATACTTCAGGAAAAGCAAAGTCCTAGCAATACCGGAGGGCTCCTCTTCATTACATTGCATTGGATTGGATGTGAGGCATCTGTTATTTAATAATTGCATCCTATGGCCATCAAGATGCCCATAAGGAGAATTCATAGCAACCTGTATCATCTTTAACTAGAATCATAGAGTTATAAGAGATCACATGGACTGTCCAGTTCAACCCCCCATCAGGAAGGAAAATAAAATTAAAGCATTTCCAAACAGTTGGCCATCCAGGTTCTTCTTAAAAAGCCCAAGAGAAGGCAACTACACCACACCACACTCTGAGGCAGTGTATTCCACTGTTGAACAGCTCTTACTATCGGGAAGTTCTTCCTAATGCTGAAGTGGAATCACTTCTCCTACCATTTGAATCCATTACTCCATGTCCTATTCTCTAGAGCAGCAGATAACAAGTTCGCTCCGTCCTCAATGTCCTCCTTTCAGATATTTAAACATGGGTAACTGTCAGCATTCTTTTCTTGAAGCTAAACATACCCAATTCCCCAAATCACTCCCTAAGCCAGGCATGGGCAAACCAAGGCCCAGGGGCCAGATGCAGCCCCCTGGGCACTGACCTCAGGCCCTTCTCATTTTCCCTGTCCTCTCAGCATAAGGACACTATAGCCCACTGCATCCTTATCCAGAAAGGATGGGAGAGGAAGGCACGCAGCAGCTGACAGCCCTCTCAAGTGCTCTCAGCTACTGTATGTCTTGCCATCCTCCTGGCATAAGGACGGTGCAAGTGATCTCATCCTTATGCCAAGAGGACAGCTCGAGGAAGGCACACAGCTTCTGAGAGTCCTCCGGAGCACTCTTGGCCATTGCCTGTCTCGCCCTCCTCCCGGCATAATGTTGAGAGGACAGCCCGAAGATCGGGGGGAGGGATGGAGGACTGAAGTGGGGGCGGGGGATGGATGTCATCCCTTGAAGGAAAGCCCAGGGCTTGGGTTGGGGGTGGGAAAACAAACTTAGGAGGAAGTGGATTAAAATAACCCATTTCCTCCCAGATTTCTGCCCTTTCTGGAAGGGCCCATAGGCTTCTATCCCTATTCATTCAACATTATTTTTCCCTTTACTGTCAAATGTTCTATAATGCCCAGAATCAGTTTGTTAACTGAGGTATACCTGAATTCGATGCTGTATGAGCCTGTTTCCTTTTATCATTTATCACCCATCTCTCCTATCTTGTTCATGCCTACCATTATTTTTTAAACTTTAATTACATTTGGCCCAGCCATAGATTTTAAATGTGTGCTGTATTACTGTCATTGTTTATTGCTTTTTTGTTTATGAGCTTTATTTTAATTGTTTTTATTGTTGTTGTTATTGCTCGTATTGATGTATTGTGGGCTCGGCCTCATGTAAGCTGCACCGAGTCCCTTGGGGAGATAGTAGTACAAATAAAGTTTATTATTTATTGGAACACATAAAGGTTGTATTACTGTAGAACTGCCTGCTGCAAAAATCCCAAATACTGGAAAACGCTAAAAAAAAACTTATCTACAGGAAAAAAAAAGGTTGTGGACAGATTTCTCTATTATAACATTTGATAAAGATAGAATTGTTTATTTTTTTCAGTCACTGTTCATGAGAGGTGTTCTGTTTAACAATGGCATAGAATTTTGTATTGATCAGATTTAATTAACTTATTAATGCACCCTTATGTTATTGTTAACAAATTTGAAAGAGTGCCGTTGCCTTCCCTTTTCCTCAATTCAACATATCCTAAGAAAGAGAATGACATGAACTGTTGATATATATTAAACACATATTTCATCGATCTGGTAGCATGTTTCTATTTTTCTAGTTATTTGCCATGACAAAAAGATTTGAAAACTTTTACAGGGTTTATTATCCTTGCCCATTAAGTACAATTTTTTTTAGATTGCTGCTCTTACTATGAGTATTCAGTAGCAATGCACTATTGGAAAAATCTGCCAGGCAGCCATTGTAAAACAAGTAGTTTATATGGAATATAGGAGGGCAGTTTTCCCTCCTATAAAGAGGTTCCACAAAGGCAAATGCAATAAAAATAGTATCTGAGTAGGCTATTAAGTAGTAGATGACATTGCTGCTGCAATTTGCATTGTTTTAATATCTTTAATTTTCCCAATTAAATGTGCACGTATACTTGAGCAAAAGTATAATGAAAGGAGTGTGTTTTCTTGTACTAGATCATTGCATCAGAAGAAAACCTTACACCACCAAGTTTGGTGATTCAAGAGCCACGTGAAGATGGGCTGGATCATACTGTCGCAAGTCATATTGCTTCAATTTTGCCTTCGCTCGCCCTTCCAGAGATTGAGAAAATGGTTTGTATTCCCTACTATGAATTTTACATTCATAATAATTTAGTCTATACTATTTAAAATGATTTTTTCCTTTTATTAACAGAATCTGTACAATTCTTTATATCCTGAAAATGAAGAAATGATGGCTCTCAGATGTCCTCTTCTACTGAATTATCATGATACTTTGGCTCAAAAACTGCATTTTCTAAAGGTACAAAGCAGTACAATTCTGTTTAGCTCCCCTCCCCATTACTAAGATCATTATCACCCTATACTCCTGTATAGGTCTAGAAACTGGGTCGACTTAAAAGTGAATACTATGTCTTAACTCTTTAAAAGGTAACCATTCCCTTTTCTAAGTGGGGTGGTGAAAGATAAGGGAGGATATCTAAATGACATATTGACTCCTTCTGCTCTCTTCGCCATGGTGCTGCATCTGGTCTTTTTGATTGCCTGGGCAGGAAAATGGCAGTAGCAGTGGAGTGACTGGCCCCCTGAAGTGGCATTGGTGTTTTTCCCTCTCTGTGAAATGACCCTCAATCTATCTACAAGCCATATAAAAACCTGTAATTTAAGAGAGGAAATGTAGTAATAATAATGATTCTGTGTTGGTGGTGATAATGATGATAGAATTTAGAAATTAACAGTAAACACATAGCATGGCTTTGAAGGTAGGAAATAAGGAAAGAAAGCAGATTGAAATTAAGGAGATTTCTGAGGGTTCCTATTTGCGTTCTGAGAAGTAAAGATGAACTAGCAACTGCTATTTACCTTTATGTAAGGAATACCTTGTGGCTGTCCTAGGCAGGGAATTCCAGAGTCGAAGGGCAACCATCAGGAAGGCCTTCTGTTGCATTCCCATCAACAGTGTTTACGATGGTGGTGGAACTGAGAGATGGGCTTCTCTTGATTATTTCAGGACTTGGGCAGGTTCATACAAGGAGGTGAGATTTGCCAAATAGCATGGACCTGAGCAATAGCATCAGCATTTGAAAGATTTCACTATGAATCGTTTTTAAAGAAGTGTGGCTCCACTCAAAAGTTCAGAGACCCAGTTCTGAATTAAATTTGCTTTTTCTAAACTTAAACAAAATTACAGGATAGCTTAATAATACAATTGACATAAGCTTGTGTTTGATTTGCTTCTTTTCACTTTAGGTACAAGATGGTTTAGACCCAATAAAGATTGAAGCTGAAATGATGGAGAAGCTACCATTGATGGATCTTCTTAAATTTCCTCTGCCACCACCTGGAAATAATACGAAACGCCTTGCCAGGATCCATGAGCTAATGCACTATTGTACCAGTGGTAAACTTATTCACCTCCTAATTTTCTTTGTAAATGATTTTCTGCAAGTCCCAAAACATTGCTTAGCATAGGGACTAATGCCACCACCAATGTTGTGCCACCACCAATGTTATTGTGGTGTGGAGAAACTTGTCACGGTTCTGTTGTCATGGACCAGTTACTACCTGATCAGGTTTAGACTTGCTGGGACTCCAAATCTCCTCAGGGGTGGGGGGCTGATTAAATCTCCTTCACCCCAGGAGGCTTATAGATCCAGATGGATTCCTGAAGGTCCTTGGGAATTTAGACAGGCGATTCTGTCAAAGCTCTGGCTGCCCTCTGGAATGGGGAAATGGCCAGGGCGGTGGACCCTGTCTGTAATTGATGGGGAGGGGCTGACACGAAAGCTTCCAGTGCCATTCAAAAGATACTGATAAGCAGAATGGTAAAAATAAGGAGTATATTACTATATGAGAACAAATCAGCATTCTTTGTAACTTTCCTTATCTTGTGATTTTTTTTTATATTTTGACAGAAATGTTAAGCAAAGTTAATCAGATTTTCATTTTGTACCTTGATTTTCCTGCAGAACACATGAATTGGGCTGAAGTAGAACGAGCTTTTAAAGTGTTTACATTTGAAAGTCTGAAGTTGTCCAGGGTAGATGACTCTGGACAATTAGAATGCCCTAACACAATGCTTGGTGGTGATTATGAGGTGTCTTATATTCCATGGGATAATCCTGCTAGGTTTGCTAAGCAACTGAGGCAAGACATAACTGGAGAAAAGGTTTTAGAACAAAATACTTTGAACAGATCAGGTAAAGTACTTTTATATGTGTTGGCATTAAAGCATGTAGTTTTCTGAATTATTACTGAATATGTGACACACACTGGACAGTGAAAGCACATGCTCAGAAAGACATTTTAGAGAATCACCTGTAAGAGTGGTTTTTCAGAATTTCAGACATGGGCCTCCTTTGCATTCTGTTTTCTTCCCTCTCACTGAATCAACAACACTGCTGGTGTTTCTGCTCTCTGACATCACACTTGACAGGTGGTAACACTAAGGTGGCTATTGTATATTTGTCAAAAAAAGAGGTTGAAACAATACAGATATGCGCTATTTGGAAGAAAAGATAGAACCATGTGCAAGCATTTATAAAAAATAATTCACAATCATGAAGTCTAAGAATACAAAAAGGGTATTGAAGCAGGATCACTGGGAATATTTATAGGTATGTCTTAGTCTTGGTCCGAATATAAAGTGAGACAATAGACCTCAAGTCCCTTTGGGGAGATGATTGTGGGATATAAATGTAAAGTTGTTGTTGTTGTTGTTGTTATTGTTGTTATTGTTGTTATATCTCCATGTAATAGTGCCTAAATACACATAACAAAAATAGAATGCCAAAAGAAAGGGAAAAGGCAATGCTTTAGTTATATTTAGGGGCTATTTATGAAGCACTTAAAGAATAGAAACAGCCAAGTTAAGCAATTTATGCAGGTATTTAAAGTGTCTGAAAAGTGTCTGTGTATATAAATACATGTTTTCCAGATTGGTTTCCTAATGAACATGGAAATGGCCAAACAAATCCTCTTGAAAACAAGGTAAGAAATAACTTGAAAATAGAGTCTGCTGATCTTTACCTGTATACATTATACACACACACACATACACAAATACATATATATACACATACACACACATACTTGTAGATGGATACTATTATGTAGCTTAGAAGCTGACTGCTAGAATTCTGTCCCTTAATGGCAGTGAATTTTCAAATCAAACTGTGGACATTTTGGTATGATATTGTCCCAGAAATCTAGCATCATGTTTTAAGAATTGTAAGCGTATTCCCATCCATGCCAATGCATTGAACATAATGAGTACACTTTTTCCAACCAACCAAAAGACCTGTTGCCTCCTTTATTTGGCTTCTTTTGTCTCAAACTTTAGGCAAATGTAACTAATATTATATACCACTAAATGTTTCACAAGGTAAATCTGGAGGCAGAATTAACAGCCATACAAAAGACTCAGCAGCGGTGTTTAAAAGAATGGAGTTTTGCAGAACATTTTCAACCACATCTTCTCTTCAAGGTATTTTGGTCTGTTATTTTGTATTTTTTATTTAGATGGCTACCTAAGTAATATTTTAAAACTATTTGTACTTCGGTGTTGCTTTAAAGTCTTTTTTTTTTCTTCCAATCACAAAAGAAAAATAAACAGGATTGATATTTCTCTTCATCTTTGATATCACCATGGCTGCCATTACGCCTTTTACCATCATCATTTTGATGTAGAAAGCAGACACATGAGATGAGTAGTTAAATAAAGAGAGTTTCGTTTCGAGATCCTCTGTGACTACCTATTGGAAGCAGAAGTTTAGTGTTCTAAAGAAGTCAGCAAACATGTTTTGGATCCTAAAATGCAATATTACCACCAGCATGTCCCTGAATTATTCAGTTCTCTGAATGAAATATTTAAAAATAGCATAATTGCACTTTGGTTGTACCAAGCATATGATTACTATTTCTAAGTTTTATTTTAACAAGTAGAATATACACTTGGTATTGTCCAGGGGTCAGAGGGGCTGCTGCACACCTTGCTTTCATCTCTTCTTTCTCTTCCTCCCTTCCTTTCCTCCTTTTCTTTCTCCCTGTCTAGTCCTTTCCTTTCCTTTTCATCTCCTTTCCTTCTTCTTTGCTTCTGCTTTGCTTTGCTTTCCTCCTTCTCTCTCCTCCTCCAGTATTTTTTCCAGCTGGAGATGCCAAGTATATTTTTTTTTCTGAAAAGGGGGCATTTGACCAAATATGTTTGGGAACCTCTGATCTAAAGTATCAACTATTTTGATTCCAACTTCTCCCTACTAGTAGGATCATGCCCTGGATTGCTGATCCCCTTGTGCCTTCCTCAGCCTTTTGAAATAGGAAATTATTAGCAAGGTACATCAGGATTTTTGTTTGAAAATGTAGGCATGATCAGTAGTCAACTAGACATGAAGGAAGAAATTTGAGTATTTATAGTCACTGGTCAATAATGGGGGATTCAAGAGGTTCAAGAAGTGACTTCTAAAAAAGAGGAATCTAGCTATATTTTCCCAGTCTTTATTTGAGCCTTTCTCCAGTTGCACCATTGTTACTGTGGATAATCTGGCCCAAATTGTTACCTTCATGTGGTGGATTGTAAAGATGAAACTGTACCTCTATGCCTGTTATTCCCTTTTACTATTTACTTGATTTGCTTTATTCATGGAAGTTTATGGGCAATTCCAACCAGAGAAAATATTGGAAGGAAAAAAGACAGTATAGTTGCTTAGCTACAGAATGTATTTCAGTTTGTAAGCATCCCATGTATTTTAAAAAAAATGAATTTATTCGTTTTTGTTCAATTTTCAGGTTTTTCATGATGCAACTGAGCATTACAGGTGCATTGATACTTACTATCACACACAAGATAATTCTTTGTTGATAGTTATTCATAATCCCATGAACCAGCGTTGTCAGTTCAAGGAGTCCTGGAATGTTGCTTTGCATTCTGATGTTGGATTTAGGTAAACGATTCCTCTAGCAATATCTGCAGGTATTATAGAACCATAGCTATGAAATACTATACTCAATGGAAAGTTCTTAAGATGTCCATTCTAGTTTTTTTACACAGTGCCCAGTTTTGATTCTCATTGGAACTGTCGTATTTACTTGAGTGTAACACACCATAGATTGTAATGCGCACCTCGATTTTGAAGATGCACATTGCAGAAAAAAGATTTGTTGTCGACCATTCTGCTGCCTTCCTCAGAATGACCATTGGGCAAGTAGAAGCGGTATCCCTCCACCAGACCAAAGCTAGTGAACTCGCCAGTCTCGGCCTGACGGATGAACGCCAGCTCCCCAACTAAGCCCTGAGAGAGAGATTTTGAAGGCCTCGTGAAGGAGGCCAGTTGGGAAGCTATGCTCCTCCATCGAGTTCACTAGCATTAGCATCTCAATGTCCATATAGCCTTGACATTCTACAGCCTTAGGACTTCTACCTTTCAGATTTTGTTGCTACTTCTTGATGAAAACTGGACTGCTTGTTTCACCATATCATATTTTTAAATGAATAGCATCAACTATGAATTGGCCTGAAAAAACCCTCCAGCTCAAATTCTGGGCCATTCCACACAGACTGTGTTGTCTATTTTCTGGACTAGGGTGCCACTTGAGGACAAGCAACTGCTTGATTCGGCCACTAACACATGATTCATTATAAAGTGAATTCCCAATCTGAGGCTGGTATCGTTTTTGAGATCAGTTCTTTGCTCTGCTATATCTTGAAGATATTGGTAACATTCCAGTGCCTTTGCAACTTATAATGTGCCTTATTTAATTTGATTGAAGGTGATTGCCCATATTGCAGGCTACAAAGTGAGGTTGTATATCTATTAACTGTTCTTCAATTCACAACTCTCACAGTCCTGCCCATCCTCCTCTTGTCATGTCCTGCCTGTCCTTGTATGGCTGCATCTGCATCCTTGGAACTGATGGGTTCGGTGGGAAGCCCCTTACATATGATGACTGGGGATAGCTGGGGCTACTGCCAAAAAGCTTGTGTAACTCTCTAGAGAAGGTACTGAATGATGTGCTGCACAGGCACATGGGTGAACTGACAAATAACTAGTTGAAGAATTACTGTTACAGCATGTGTAAAATTTGCCCTCTTTTTGGAAACTGCAGGGTGAGAAATGAAGTTTTTCAAAAACACAATTAAAGATGAAAATAGTGCTTTCACTGTTAAAATGGTTGTACACTGTATGTTCATACAGCACCACAATAAAGTTAGCTATATTTTTTGTTTCTGGTGTCGATAAAGCCTCAGATGATTAACTCGGAAATTCAACAGAAACAGGCAGTGAAAGTGAATCATTTTGTCAGCCATTGTAGCTATTTCTCTAGATTTTACTTTTATCTTCATTGCTTTTTATATGCTTTACAAAATTAATAGTGCATACATATTTTGTAATACAAACTCATACAAAACCTAACAAAATATTTTAAAAATTGTTTTGACTCATCTGTTATTATTCATAAAATTTGTTTTTCCAGAAATTATCTGGAATTGGTGGCCAGTTCCATTGAAGAGTGGGTAGTAAGGGAAGAAGCTAAATATCAGGAATTAAAAATGGCTAAGGAACTAGAAGCACTTAGGCTAGCTGCAGAGATGGCAGAAAAGCCACCTGTTGAAATTAAGTCTCCACCTCCTGCTAAAAAAGGTGCTGCGTCAAAGAAATCCAAAAGTAAGTATGTTATAGTGCAGTAGTATACATGTCCACCCCAAACCCTTATAGTTAATGGTTTCAATGGGAGAAGATTGTTCAGGCCACTTGCCATCTCCATATTTATCATGAACAGGTTATTAATGCTATCATTCCTTTCCACCAAATGCCAAGGATGCCATTATGGTCCTGAATTGGTGTCTGTCAGCAGTAATGGACTGGATGAGGACCAACAGGCTGAAGCTAAATCCAGTCAAGACAGAGGTACTCCTGGTCAGTTGTAAGGCTGATCAGAGTCTGGGACTTAAGCCTGTGTTGGATGGAGTTGCATTCCCCAAGACACAGGTTCACAGTCTGGGAGTAATCCTGAATTCATTGCTGACCCTGGAATCCCAGGTGTTGGTGGTGGCCAGGAGTGCCTTCTCACAGTTAAAATTTGTGCGCCAGCTGCACCCATACCTTGAGATGCCTGACTTGGCCATGGTGGCCCATGCCTTAGTCACATCCCGTTGGACTACTGCAATGCTCTCTACATGGAGCTGCTTTTGAAGACAGTTCAGAAGCTGCAATTAGTGCAGAGATCACTGGCTAGATTGCCATCTGGAGTGCCTTATCGTGAGAGGATGACTCCCAATTCTGTGACAGCTCCACTAGTTCCAGGCTAAATACAACGTGTTGGTCATCCAGGGTACTTGTTCAATCACATCTCCCTATATAGGCCATCTCATGTACTGCGGTCAGCGGAGGAGGCCCCACTCTTGGTCCCACCCTCGTCTCAAGCTCGATTGGTGGGAATGAGAGAGGGGGCCTTCTCCGTGATTGCACCCTGTCTCTGGAACTCCCTCCCTAATGAAATTAAAACGGCCCCCACTCTCTTCTCCTTTAAGAAACTTTTGAAGCCGCACTAATGTACTTTAGCATATAGAGAGGAGGAGTTCTAAGATACTACTCCACTGGAATGGTGGAGAACCCATGTGCACTATATGATGGCTGTGATACATTTTAATAAACACTTGTGTTAGCCATTTCATATTCAATTCATGTTTAACTGTTTTTAGTCATATATGATTAATGTTTACACATCCTAGTTTATTGTCTAATTGGTTTGTTCCCCATTTCAATGTTTAATTCTTTCACTATAAGTTTACTGTTATTATTGTGTATTATTTTGTATTATTCCTGATGTTGTTTGTTTACTTTGCAAGGCACTGAATGTTTGCCTGTTTTGGTGCTGTAAACTGCCCTGAGTCCCTTTTGAGAGAGAAGTGTGGTCTAGAAATAAAGTTGTTTATTATTATTATTATTATTATTATTATTATTATTATTATTATTATTACATCTGAGCAGCTCAAGAGTCACAGCAGTTCTAATCCTTTCTTTTGGTAACCTTTTAAAATAAATAATCTTTGATTCCTTCTCAGGGAAAAGTCAAGATGTAAATTAAACGAATCTAAAAAATTATATAAAATACATATCAGGAGGGCAGTGGGTGAAGCCATAGATTACACAAGATAACTCAATGCATCCCTCTCCTGTTCTGTCCAGGGCTTCATAGTACAGGGAGAAGCAGAAGTACTTATCCTACCAATAATGTGAGTAGCCAATCACAGGAGCTTCTGCTCATCAAGAAAAAAGAGATAAATAGGTACAATAAAAGCAAAAACATTAGTTGTTGCTAGTTTTTAATATTGTGGCAAGCACAGATATAACACAAAGATCAGAGGTTTTTGCTCCACAACTGAGTGGGTGAGCATATTTATCATCGTGGAAAATAACTTTCAGTTTTCTAGCATGAGGTTTCATTGGCTCATAGATGAGGGATGAGATCTGTTTATATTTCTTCCAAAATCTCTAAGAGGAAATTGAAGTGGATAAAGATTTTGTGACCCCATATTCTCAGTCTTCACTAATGGGTGAAAAACTTGGAAATACGTTCTTGCTTTCAAGTTCCAGTCTTGATCATCAAGCTGACTCAAAACTGAGGGGAGAGTAGACTGGTGGGCTGAAGCATATGTGATGTGAGGAGGAATTGTTGGTTTGTTTATTTTGTTTTGTTTGGCCAAGGCTATATAGCTCCAAAACTTTCTGAAAAAAATCTCTTCTTAGACAGAAAAACCCATCTCTGTGAAAGCACAGATGATCATTTGAAGAAAAAAACGTTATGGGTAGGCGATCTGTTTGTTAATGAGTAGCAATAAAGCAAGTGAAGTAAAGTCCTTAGGGACTTTTCAGACACATCTTTTAACCATATCAGTTTTAGCTATTGCCTTTATTTGAAGCAATGTTTGAACTGTTCTATAGGGAATTTACATATCATCTGGGAAGATGAACACATATAAATGTAAAAGTGAATAAGTAATTCTCTGTGGCTCACATATGGATTTGCACTTGCACACAATCACTCTGAAAAAAGTTTTGGTGATAGGTCAGGTAAGGATCTGGTGCAGTCAGGTTACTTTTCCGCAATTATTTTTAATCTCTTGTAGCAGCAAAGTAAATTTATCTTGAAATTTAAGATTTTAGCTGAATGGTTCTTCTGTTTCCATCTTTCTGACTACTAACACTATGTACAAAATTTGAAAAAAATAATGTTCCTGGTTTGAAAGTGTTATTTGCTACTTACTTTGAAAGTAGTTGTTAATACTCCAGAAATTTTGGTTTTGTGGCTTCTACAAACTATGTTGAATTGGTTGCAACTCAATGTTTATTGCTATATCTTGCTATATATATTTTGCTATAGTTTTTTTTAATGAGATATTCATTGAAAAACTATAGAAAAATGTGCTACAGGTTGTCCAGCAAAAGCAAAGGTTTTGCAGTTTTTATGATAGAACCAATTAGGAAATGACATTTATCACTCAGGAACAAAAAACGTGTTACATAATGTTATGAAAGTGGATGCAGAGAAGAGACACATTCTCAGACAAATTTTTTCAACACCTCTACATTCCTTCTATTGGATATTACATATTATTTTTTTGTTTCCCCCCTCTTTTTTCTTTTCACCTAAAAACAGTTGTTAGAGAAAGACAGAAAATGAACCATGTATCTCTTTTCTTCTCCCCCACCCTCTTCTTTTCTGGATGTTATATCCACAATCTTTATTTGTTATCTTCTTTTAGGTACTTCCAAAAGTAAAACAGATGTATCTCCAGAACCCCCAGTTAAGAAGGAAACTGATATATTTGTTCGAATGGACTCTCTTAAGGTAAAAAAGTGAAATGTCATTTGTTACCAGTGTTTCTATACTCTGTTTGTGCAAAACAGTAATATATTGTTTGTGTTAAATATGATTTGTTGTCAAAGCAACTAAAATGTTTGATGAGTAAATTTAATACATGGTGACAGTACAACTGCAGTTACTTTAACTTTCATACAGTACTAATGAAATTTTGACAGGCAAAATAGCATGTGGGAATCTGAGTTGGGGTCTACCAATAATAAGTCTGCAAGTAAGTCCAAATTGTTCTCTGCCATATATGCTTGACTTTTAGGATATTCACAAAATGTTCTTGGATTTATCCAAATTTACCTGAATTGGGACATTCTTAATACAATATGTTCTGAATAATGTATGATGAGATGAAGGTGGTCATTATTCTATATGAAAAAGGACTACAGTGATATATTAACTTAATTCATTCTGTGACCAAGTTCGTAATTTATATGCTATTAATCTGTATTAGAGCCCGGTCATAGAACAAATTGAATCCATTTGCCAAGGCCCCATGGGGTTCAGCCAGCCCGTCCTTTGTTCCTCCCTGAGCAGCTCCCTCTCAGCCTCTCCATTCACCCTTCAGAGACTCCTTGACCACCATCTGCACCAAGGCTCCTCCCTCCTCTCTCCCTCCTTCTCTGCAAGTATGGTTCGCTTCAGCTTTCTGGTGGGACTGCCAAGCCCCTCTCTCCCTTCCTGTGAACATGGCCTGCCTTTGTGGGCTTATGTCCCTGTCAAGCCCCTGCCTCCCTTCCTGTTAGCATGGCCCACCTCAGTATGCCAGCGCAGTCACCAAGGCCCCTCCCTCCCTTCTCCCTCCTCTCCTCCTCCCCTCCTCCCCTCTGAGCTTGGCCTCCCTTTAGTCTTCTGGCATGGCTGCCATTTTGGAAATGAGAAAGCTCATAACTTGGATCTGGCTCACATGTTGAATTAAAAAAATCGGATGAGTGATGGGTTAATGACAATACTTTGGTGTGTATTCTTCCTCCCCTAAAGTTTCTAGATCTTGAAGGTTCTTTTGGCCATGAAAGAAATTGCTTCCTCTGAAAGAAATTATATTGGAATGTACGAGGGGTATTTTTTAAGTAAGGTCCGTTTTGTTGTAGACACTAGTAGTTCGCGCGCAAACCGCAACGAGCACGTGCGTCAGGAACAACTGTGCTCAGTTTCCACTCTGTAGCTAACCTGTATGGTTCTGTTCTGTGCTTTAAAAATGTTTAAGACTATCAACTCACTCTCCGCATGTGAGGTTCGCTCAGTGATACGGTTTTTGTCAGCAAGGAACGTGCCTGCTGCAGAAATTCATCGACAGATTTGTGAAGTGTGCGGTGATACTGTTATGAGTGAAAGCAAAGTCCGTAAGTGGGTGCGACAATTGAAAGATGGCCATGACAACGTCCATGATGAGGACCGCTCCTGTCGCCCTTCTTTGATTACAGTGAACTCTTGGTTATCGGAGCAAGCGGCAAGTTTTTATGAAGAGGGTGTTTTAAAATTGGTTCAGAGGTATGATAAATGTTTGAACAAACTTGGCAACTATGTCGAAAAATAGAGTGAAGTATGTACTTTCTGAAAATAAATTTACTTTTTTGAAATAAACTTTCGTTGTGTACTTATGTTCAAACGGACCTTACTTAAAAATACCTCTCGTATAATCCAGATTGTTCTGAGCTATATTAAGTTTGGCCTTAGTTCTAATTTTTGTATTACAGGCTTGGAAGGAAGAGCAGGAAAGGCTATTAGAGGAAGAGCGTTTGAAAGAATTAAAAAAAGCTGAGAAGAAAGAAAAATCCAGTGGCAAAAAAAAGGGCCAGGCTAAGGAGACACCTCCTGATGAAGGAAAGGCATCTAAAAAAAAACTTTCCAAGGATAAAACTAAGTCACCATCTAAATCACCAGAGTCTGCTAAATCACCAGAAACTGAAGATCACACAAAGCAACACAAGCAAAGTAAACTGAATATTCCTCCTCAATTTCCAGATAAAGACTATGATGTAAGACTATTTACTTGCTGCTTGAATTTTATTTTAGAAAAAATTGATTTTTCAACCAAATCAAACAAATAGTGTCACATGTATGTTCTGTCTTGCTTTTACTGCATTCCATGCATGGGTTCTACATAGTGCAGAACCTTGTTCTAAAACTTTTGGGAGATGTTTCTTTTCCAGTAAGCAGGCCACCACACCCTCTGTGTTCATAGTTAAAGGAACATTACTTGTAACTTCCTGATCAGTCTGTTTAATGTTTGTAGCCTTCTTTTGGCAAGAAGACAGCTCAGGCTAGACACCCCTCCCCAACATTTTTTTCTTTTTCTTTTTTAGCAGCTTTTATTTGCTTACATGGTCCTTTAGTATTGCAGTTTTTTCCACTTCTGGTTAGTAGGCACATTGTGGTACTTGTCTCTTGTTCAGGACATTTTGGCTATGATCTGGCTTTCCTTTCAGAGGAGTACTAATTGCAGAAGCTTAGGATACTGAGCTCTGTTCCAGAAAGGGTTGGCTTTCTTCTTGTAGGAGTAAAATTCTTCCTAATGAAAGATATTATGAGAGTTTTGGCAATAGTTTACACTGTTGAATTTTGACAGTTTTGTCAACAATTTACTCACTGCCATATAATGCAGTATAGAGTCTCATTAGCCACACCAGGCATGCAGGCTGATGCGAGTTAGCCCAAGGTACTATTTATAGGCTGTACAGTTAAACATTTTACATGCATTAAGGCAATTGATTTAAAAGGCGCCATCTGTTAAATTTATGTTAAATTTATATTTACTTTCATTGGTTAAATTTGTATTTACTTTCATTGGTCAATTAATCAAAACATTACTTCATCCTACATGCCTCTTATTTACTCGAGAATGGCGTTGAGCATCAAGAAACTAGCGTTGTTCTTAGCAGATCAGGGGATACACACAACAGAACTATGGAACCCTAATGTTTTTAAGCAATTCTTCACTCAGATCACTCACAATCAAGCATAATTCATCAAGCATAAGCTCATCAGAACACAATAGAACTCAAAAAAGAGCATGAGCCTCCACTCATCTTACACAGACAGCCTTATCTTACACAGACAGCCTTATCTCTACATCTTACACAGACAGCCTTATCTTACACAGACAGCCTTACACAGATAGCCATTCACAAACAAACTCTCCCAAAGAGTTTGGGAGAGCAAAGGTATAAGTAAAGATTTTGGGGTATTTTACCAGAAAGAATTACTAGCTGGAGAGAACATTTTCCCTTGGAATAAAATGTTCTTTTACACAGTAGTATTCACTCTGCATTGTTACTTTTTCTCTTCACTATGAAGGACAACATGAAAAGTGATAGCAGATTAATTAAGTGTACCTTAATTTCAGATCTCTAAAATCATCTAATGCACCTCAAATATGTGTTTTCTTGCTAATGACAAAATTATGTTACTGTTGTGCACACTTTTTTAAAAGGAGTTTTGTACAGATTCACACACTTTAAGGGGAGGTAGAGGCAGGTTACATAATAATGTATACATGGAGGATGACTTGCTTGATTTGACCTGAGCTTGTCAGTTTGAGTTATTTGAATCTTCTCTGCAAATTTCTCCCCTTTTAAAACAACTCTTCCCTTTTAGTTTCTTGGATACAATATGAGTGAGAATCCCATTATAGTTGCTGGTTGTATTCGATATCTCTTTCCTACTGATGGAGGGCAGATCCAGGCAGAAACAATAACATTTGAAAAAGGTGATTTTTTATTTTTGATATTTTCCAAATACATTTCTAATATATGCTGGTACATTTGCAATATGTACTGATTGTGATTGTCACTACATTGGATAACTTTGAAGAGGAAGATTCATCTGACAAATCCTACCAGTAATGATGGCTATATATTGTGGTGGTGATATGTGTGTGCACCTTCAAATCATCTGTTGACTTATATTGATTCCATAAATTTCAAAGTGTTTTCTTATGGAAGGAATACTCTATTTGAATTATACCTTTGTACATTTATATTCTGAACATTTTGTGCCATATTTTAGAAATGAATTGGTGAACCATTTTTGTATCTAATCTTGACAGATTGTATCTTAAGTTTGACAAGCAATAGCATCTAAATACTTAATCAAAAGTGATAATAATACATATTATTTTAAATTTTGCTGAATACATTCTTCAATAGCAGAAGCGTGAGTCTTTAGTGACCACTCTGACACTGCTGTTTTTTTCTCCTGGTTAATATGGTTTTTCTATTTTCAATGTACATGTTTGTAAAAAAACTGAAAGAAATCTGTATACATATATCCATATATAATTTCATTCTTCCATCCTATTACATTGTTTTTCTATTCTTCCTTTTGGTCTGATTTGTATTATTTATAAATTACCTATACCAATTCTAACAGATTAAATTTTGAAGCCTTCTATAAAAAAATCCTTCTTTATTTTTTTTACAACATTTAGAAATGGTTCCTAGTCCTTGATAAAGTTTTTGTGTGTTTTTTTCTTTGCTCATCTTTGCTAATTTGTCGATTTTTTCCAATTTATCTAGTTCTATGTTGTGTCCAATATTTTGTGCCCATTTAATCATACAATCCTTTATCAGTTCTGTTTCCCTTTCCATCTTCAGTAATATTATATATATTTTCAATAAGATGTTCTTCATTAGTACACAGTTCCTTTTCAGATTCTGATTGGTCTCTTTCAAATCCCACATTTTTATTGTCTAGTGCAAATCTTTCTTTCAGTTGCCTATATCTATACCACTGACGGTGAAGTCGTGCATCCTTCAGCTCTTCCTGAGTTTAAAATCAGTATTTATCATCTTAATGTATTATTAAATCTCTACTGACTACTTTGGATGAAAGATTGACTAACCTTAAGAAATGAGAGACTGTTAAAATTAGACAGTCATGATTTACATTTTGGGTGGCATGCCTATATATGCAGATTTTAATCACCATTTTATAAGACAAGCCATACTAAGAATTTGGAATATGGTAAGTACAAAATTAAACTATGTCCAAAAAACCCATAATCAGTTTCAACAGAAGAAGATTTTTACAAGTTAGATAAGTACAAAGGAGAACACTGGATTACATACTGCTGTTTTTTCATTTTTTTCCCCAGGGTCAACCTTAGTCAAAGTGAAGGTGATAAAGGACAATCACAGCTTCTTTGTTCACATTGTAGACCCCAAGAAAAGCCACAAAGAAAGTAAAAATAAAGAAGAAGGGTCTGGCTCTCCAGAAGGACAAGAGACAGAAACAGGTCAGTGTGTGAAAGTAATGTGTGGCAATTTTTTTTTGTTATCTTATAATCCACTTTGAGTTCTATGCCATGAGAAAAGTGGGGTTATACATTGAATATATATTCTACTAATTATAATTGTTCAAAAGAGTTCATTCAGATGTAATGATGAAGTATTGGATGTTGTAGAGTAGGCATGTGAACACTTTGGCCCTCCAGGTCTTTTGGTCTTCAACTCCCGCAATTCCTAACAGCCAGTAGGCTATTAGGAATTGTGGGAGTTGAAATCCAAAACATCTGGAGGGCTGAAGTTTGTACATGCCTGTTGTAGAAAGACATCTTCGGTGAGAGCCTGGGTACTGGAGTAACATTATAGCACGAAGTGAGCTCAGTCAGGAGAACTTGTGGGAACTGCATAAATAAATCAAACCCTTTGCCACTCAGATATGGGGTATGGGTGCATCGATCCCTGCTCTCACCCTAGCAGTCTAGCACAAAAAGCTCAGCCTAGGGATACCACTATACATGCCTAATGGGGGTGCCCAGTAGTGCCTTCATTTTCCGAAGTCACTTTTTTATACTGACTTCCATTCCCATAGGCCAATTGGCTTGTTACTGGGCAGACACAACACCCCTTGTTTTAAATATTCTTTATTGATTTTCATAAGGTGATAACATCGAAAGAGGGGGAACAATACGTAGAAAGTAAAGTTTAGAAATTTAAGACACTACAGTCGGTAGTAGGGTAAAACAGTAGGGGTAGTGAGTGGGGGGGAGGGCAGGGGGTGTGGGACAGGGGGAGGGAAAAAAGAAGAGGGGGGGTAGATTGTTGGTCGCTTCCGTTTGGTCCACAGACRGGTTGTATATTATTAAGTATGTCCATTGTCATTTATTGGTTTAAATTCCATATTTCCTGTTTTTAGTTTTATTATTAGCGTTGTTGTTCTTTTATTTTTGAATATTCTTTAAATATTCTTTACAGTAGTTCCAGTTGGTCAGGTTTTYCTTGTTTTGATTTCCCATTAAGCACGATAATCTATCCAAATCCATAAATTCTATGGCTTTTTTAGTCCAGTCGTCGATCGTTGGARTTTCTTTARTTTTCCACTTTTGGGCTATTAGTATCCTTGCCGCCGATGTGAGGTAGAAGAAAAATTTTTCCTCGTTTTTCTTCTGGGCAAAATCRGTTATGTTAAGTAGGTARTATTCYGGCTTTATTRTCATTCTTGTTTTAATTATCTTTTGTGTATGTTTATGTACAGTTGACCAGAATTGTTGAATTCCCTTACATTTCCAGAACATGTGATAGTAGGTTCCTACCTCTTTCTTACACTTCCAACATAGATTACTATGGTTTTTGGACACAACACCCCTTGAACTGAGTTTTGCTGGATTTCAAGGTATACAATGGAGAAAGCTGGGCCTTTTTTCCACTCACAGAACACCCAGCTCCTCTGCTAGCTCTTTAAACCCCTTAAGCAGATGTTCACACTTGCTCCATGCTGCTGTACATGCTCTGAAGTAGTCACCCAAGTAATGCGTCACAAAAGGGGACCCCATCCTTTTTTTTAAGATCCACTCAGAGAATTTGCTAAAACTTTTAAGATTTATATTGTTTTATATGCTCGTGTATTGTTGTCTTGAGTGTGGCATTTCGTAGTGCTTCTGTGAGCCACCTCGAGTCCCTTCAGGGAGATGGTGGCAGGGCACAAATAAACAACATTCTTCTTCTTCTTCTTCTTCTTCTTCTTCTTCTTCTTCTTCTTCTTCTTCTTCTTCTTCTTCTTCTTCTTCTTCTTCTAATGCAGTGCAGCTGACTTCACACCCCATAGGCAGTATCTTATCAGAGTTGTACTGCTCTTGGAATTTAAAGCATACAGAAGCCATCAAGGTGGACTGGCAGCAGCCTAAGGATGCCATCACATTGATGAGGTCCCCAATGCCAATTTCCTGGACTCCGCAGCAAATCAGTGGGGCAGTGGCCAATCTCCATGCCTTGCCTGGCCAGCAGTCACAGTTCCCCATCACACATGGGGAAGCGTTGCCTCACAGCTCCAAATAGAACACAGGGAGGCTCCCATGTTGGCGGCACAGCATCGTCCCACTCTGCCACTCCAAATGAGCAACCAAACCCCGCTGAAAGGGCAGTTATGTCATGTGATGGACCGACGTGGGGCTCCGTTGCTCAACTGGAGTGGCATTATCTTAGGACACTAACAATTAGTTGTGTGATGAGGTCATATATGCTGATGGAATATCACCTTAGCCACAAGGTCCCCCTTTATTTATTTATTTACTTAATTTCTACCCCACCTTTCTTGATCCCGAAGGGGACTCAAGGCAGCTTACAAACCTGGCAAAATTTCAATGCTTCACAGGTAAACAATAAAACACATCTCATCAGTATAAACAATCTAAACATATAAGCAACTCAAACACATATCGATCAATCAAACAGATTAAAAACCATATAAAATGCTGAGTCATATCCATAATCATTTTCCAAAATTCATAGTCCATTATTCAAGCTTTTGAAGTCTTGTTTCTCTTACAAAAAATTACATGTGCACACATTTTGTATCTGTTATAGTGCTTCTACTTGAATAGTTTATATATATCAGAATGGTATGGATTCATATTTTGTCTAATTTCAGTGACATTGAAATGTCTCATTGAAGGAGGAGTCAAGGCTCCATATACATAATGCACTTCATATTTATTTTAGAATGAAATAATAGTTAAAATAGCTATTAAAACATTTAAGTAAAAACATTCAGTATGTTCTTGTTTTTATTCAATAGTAAAACAACCAGTAAATCAAGAGAAAGGCATGAGCAGATTTGGAGCATTTTCTGCAACTCTAGAAAATGACATTCATCTTTCTATTAGTTGCTATGGAGCTTCAGGAAAAGTTGCAGGTAAAGCAAGCAAAATGAAGATAATTATAAAGATCTTTGTCACATGGTTCAGTTCTGTTCAGTGTTATGCTGAATCTGATTCTGGATATCAAATTGAATCATAGGCCACTTCTTAGTGATTTTTTTAGCAATACAGATTATCTTTCTAACATGATTTTGAATTCAAATTTCAAAATGTATTCAGAACGTCTTGAGAAAGGTTTTCTAATTTTCCACAGATAAAGTATCAATGAAAATATTCAAACATGGACAATCACAAGATAATTTCAAATGATATCCATATATATATTCCTAAGAAATACTATCAATGAAAAACTGTTTATCTGAAAGGCATTACAGTCACTTCTTTGTTCTCCATTTTCATACATGCCCCCATTTTTTAATATAAGAACTGCGTAGCTTTAAAACCTCAAAGGTTTGATGCTGTGCTCCCCTTGAATGTCTGTGTTTTCTTTATTTACCATATTTATATGGTAAATAAATAGTTCACAGTTCTGAAGCACTGATATACAATTTAATATATTTTAAAGACACTTTACAGTTTAAATACTTCTATTGATGTCATGTGGTACCCTCTTACTTGCCAAATAAACGCAATAGCTTTTTTTTAAAGCTTTTTAAATGAAGCAAATGGATACATGAGTGGGAAGTTCTGCAAAATGTTGTCTGGTAAGAAAAGAAAATGTTCAATTAACAGGGGAAATTCATATCAGAGTCTTGGTGCTAGCAAGTACCATCACAGTTCCTTCGTTTATTTTTTAAGGAAGCAATCAGCTGGTGAAATTAGAGGGCATTGCTTAGCAACCAGTGATGGGCGGAGCTGGGGGAAAGGAAGGAGCTAAGGCACCCATACTTTAGTCAGTTCAGTGTTTGGTATTTAAAGGTTAGTTTAGGAGATTTGAAGTAGAAAGAAGGAAAGAAGAGTTTTAGGAACTATTTGTTAGGAAGATACCTCTTTGAGGAAAATAGTAAAAGCCTTCAGGGAGAAGGAGAAGAAATATAGTAGGTCTCTATAGTGTTAGTGTGCTGGTTTGGAAAGAGGATTCAAAAGGTTAAAAATATCCTGTTTGTATTCCTGTGTGTGGAACATCGTACTGTTCAAGAACAAAATAAACATCATATTCATGTTTTATTTCACTTTATTTCAGAGTTTTTGTGGCATCTTAAACATTCTAGTGAAGGAGGTGGCCTATGATTCAATAATTGATGGCAGCAAAATAAACCTTAATAAATATTTGGTGGCAGCAAAGAAATATTTAATATACAGTGGTAGCTCCCCACTGTCCTATCTTGTGTGTGTGTGTGTGTGTGTGTGTGTGTGTGTGTGTGTGTGTGTTCGTGCCCTCTGTCCTCTTGACCCTCGCTGGCCTATCTTCTTTATTGCAGTGAAGATCTTAGAAATGCAGGTATTTTTCGTAGTGGTGTTACTGAAATTAAGGTGCATTTACAATCAGTTTCATCTTACAATTGGAGAAATACAGTATATTGTTTTGTGGTGTTTGTATTAATGCAATGCTCTGTTTCAACTACAGGTCACAAATGTTGGTAAAACATGTTGATTATTAAAAATAATTAAGTTTGTTTATAGTTAACCTTTATTTAAATATTGTAAATATATCTTTCCTTAGTCTTTGATCTAGACCAAACTTAGCATGAATGCTCCGTATGCCCAAATATGAACACAGATGGAGTTTGGGGGAAATAGACCTTGACATTTGGGAGTTGTAGTTACTGGAATTTATAGTTCACCTACAGTCAAAGAGCATTCTGAACCCCACAAATGATAGAATTGAACCAAACTTCCCACACAGAACTCCCATGACCAACAGAAAATACAGTGTTTTCTGGTGGTCTTTGACGATCCTTCAGACACTCCCTCGTGACCCCCCCCCCCCCGGGGTTCCCGCCCCTAGTTTAAGGCCATCCAGTCCAACTCCTTTCACCAGGGCAAGAAAACATAATCAAAGCCCTCCTGACAAAGAGCCATCCAGACATAGATATAGATAGATATATATGATTCACACACACACACACACATGTAAATGCCAGATATAGTATCTTAGATTTGAAAGGGACCCCTAAAGAAGGATAATTATATGTTGCATGTTCCGGAGCAGGCAAACCAGACAATCTCTACATCAACACTGACAAAGAAACAGCAAGAAATACTGTTTACCCACAAGCATAAAGAAATTACATATATTAGAAACCAACACTTTCTCATTACTTTATTTTCCAGATCACCAGATTAGGCCACTGGAACGTCTGGCCAAGGGTGGCTAGTATTATTCTAATGCAGGAACTGCAAAATGAGGTTCTGGAGACAAATGTGCTCCCAAGGCTGTTTTTTGTTTGTTTGTTTGTTTGTTTTTTGTAACCCATGGCTTGTCCATACTTTTTTGACCACACATTTTTAATCAAGAGAGAGAGAGAAATTGCCGTTTGCAAGACCTCTAGGAGAAGCAACCCGACTTTAAAATAGTCTGCAGATCTCCCCGGCACTTTGTAACATAAAACTCAGAATTGTTTGTTTTTGTTTATTAGCAGTCCACGTGACCCCAGACCTACCACTTTTGCTTATCCCTACTATAAATCTTTAATATATACTGGTTTATTTCATATTGGATGGTTTACTTCAAATATATTTGCTTTTTAAAGGGTAGAAGCCTTAAGGTTTACCTAAAGATTCAGAAACATTCACAGTATATATTTAAACAACTTTTATTTAATCTGTGTAAATTATTTTCCTCTTGCAGAGAAAACAGATCCTGATTTAGCAACAATTTTATCTATTCCTTCTGTAAATTTGCCTACTTCCACTTTTGTTGCCTCGGCTGTGTCTGCTGGTACCGTTTCTACTGTAGGAAAAAGCAAGCCTGGTAAAGAAAAAACAGGCAAATCATTACAATCTGGCAAACCAAGCTCCCGTCTCACAGTGACTGCATCACCAGAAGAATCTTTAAAACAAGAAGAGAAAAAGGTGTGGAAATATTCCTTTGCATAGTATTTTTTATGGCATACTAAATGTTGATCATTGATAACTGTAAAGTATGTGGCATAATTGTTGTCCTTTTTGGAGTATTCTAAGTGCAACACTTTCATTCTTTTCAGTTGAAGAGAGCATCCTACTATCACTTCCAGTGCAGAAATATTTATTTTAACCATTAAGAGGAGCTTCCACCAAATTTCAGTTCTGCCTGCACTCAAGTTAGGAACTGTGAAATGTGGGCTATTTGAAATAAAGATTGTTGATTATGGTGTTTTCACAATATCCCACTTTTATAACGACATTTTGAAAGTTTTGTTAGAGTTCTGAAATTTTCACCACCAGAACTTTAGAAACACTTTAGAAGCAAAGCACCAGCGCCCCCTGGTTTGTAAGTACTTTAGAACCATTTAGAACCATGGATTGCCCATGCCTAATAGCTAAATATCTGTACAAATAATTTTAAGATTTTAAATTTCTGTTGGTTTATATCTGTAGGTAGAAGCAGATGAGCCAGTCCTGGTGCCAGATGTCTCCGATATCCATGTTTTCAATACGTTGAATGTGTCCTGTCCCAATGGATTGGCGCTGACCTTCCTTGGTCAAAAATTCACAGGTTGGTCCTGTACATTATTTCATGGAGTTTTGAATCTAGCAGTTAAAATTTTCCTCATCATAAATCAGTGTATTAACATATTATAAATAGGGTTGATTGATAATATATATTCAGTATGGGTGTTAAACCAGAATCCATCTCTTGGTGGATTTTTCTGTGTAGTTTTAAGGGGCACTAATGTATCATTTTAATAGTGAACTATTACTATTTGGATATATAAACAGATGCTATCCCATTTATTGTCAGCTATCCGTACCCAAAGCTCAGCTTTCCATGTACCTTTAGATCCTTTATTGTACACATATGTAATCTCAGGTATTATTTTATAAGTATCAAAGGCCAGTTCCTTACATCTGTTATAATCATTGAGACAATATGCGAGTAACAAACATGAACACTTGAATTTTATTAAGCCAACTGGTGTTCTATTTTTCCAGCTAGTTGTCCTTCGGATATTGGTTTACCATGTATAAACAGATCTCTAGACCTTTATACTCATTTTCTTCCCAAATGGCAAACAAGTTAAATGTATTACCTTATTGATAATTAGTATTTATTAAGAAGGGACATAGATGAGACTGAAGCAGAGCAAATATTTTAACAAGTAATCCATACATCTCAAACAGAAAGGGATGTTCAAACTATTTCAATTACTTGCTAAAAGCTGATTGAGAATTAAAGGCATCAGATGTACCTGAAATGTTGTCCCTTTAATTCAAAGGTTCCATTAGTTCTAATTAATAATTTTTACCACCTGAAATGACAAATAATATTTCTCTAAATTAGGAATGGCTAGCACTTCCATTTTAACTTTATTTTAATTTGATTATTTTTCAGCCCGTTAACAAATCTACAGGGGTTTTGCCCTGCAATTAACTTTTCAATATTTTTAGCCAATTTTTTGTGTCAGGATCTAAGCGAATCATCAGAAAAAGAAATCAAATTTTAGGTAAAATATAGTATTTTACCAGTGCAATTTTACCTGATGCCATCAGGTTTAAATCAGAGCATTCCTTCAATAATTTTGAGGTATCAATTGGAGTGAAACCTTTGCCACTCAAATATTTAGATATCAAATATAGGAGTAGTTGGGGAACTAACTTGAGATTACCTGGATATATTTCTGTATTGTCAGAGACTCTTTTTACAGAAAAGACTGTAATTATAATAAATCAGTCTGTGGAATGCATTGTGCAGGGGAACTGATAGAAAGTCATTATAGGAAAAGGCAACATAAATTAAAAAGGTTCTTCCTAATGCTTAGGTGGATTTTTTCTTTCTTTTTTTGTAATCTGAATAATTTCATTCATGCTCTCGTCCCTGGAATAGTAGGAAAAAAAACCAGTGCATTTTTACATGACATCCATCATGAGTGTGACTGTTATGACAGAATCAGGTGCCCAGCAAGAAGGAGGACGTGATCTCTCATTCTTCTTGTTAGTTGTATAGGTTCTCCATTCTGATACTGACAGAAGCATTCATAAGGATCAGGAGCTCAGGTGGAGCTTCCTGCCAGCCAAGAGCAGTTGTGACAATGACACGGGCATTCTCCAGCCACTTTCTTCTTGGTGATCATTGTAGAAAAGTGTGTTGGCCGCAGTGTCCATCTGGACAGGGGATCAGGCTGAGTCAGACCTTATCTAGGTATCTAGACTACCCTGAAGTCCTGGGATACTCTGGAATTTCCAGCAAACCATGGAGTATCTCCCCACTTTGCTCAAATCAGGACCTATCGGTCTATCAAAATTCGAGTATAACAGGGGTCAGGGGATGCAATGCTCACATGTAGCTTCTATGCATTGTGAAGACTGCCAGTGGTTCATTTGTGGTGGATACAAGGTTTCTGTCCAGTGTATATAAGCCCCTTGATCTGTGTCCTTGCCGTCTCAGGAATCCAGTGACCCAGCAATGCTATAACTGTTGACTACCTGAATTGCAGAAAACACTGCTAACCTGATGCTGACCCAAAATTATTTGCATAACCAAAGAACCTTGGATCCCACAACAACCTACTGTTATTCACTTACTGCCCACTAATTTTCTTGATAAACATTGATCACAGTAAGTTTGTCTATATTATTATTGTTGAAATAATTATATCCTATTAATGAAAATCATATTTTATTGTGTGAAAGGTGAAGAAAAAGGAGACAAGGACAAGAATTATAATCAAGAAAACAAAATAAACGATGGTAAATTGGAAGATGCCAAGAAGGATGAAGTCAAGAAACAAGAATCCAAATCAGAACAGAATAATGAGACCATAGAAAACAAAGGCAAAGCGGATGTCAACAAGGTAGATGAAGCCAAAGCCACTGTATGTGCAGTAGATAGTGTCATAAAGAATGAGGCCAATGAAGATAAAGCAGAAGCTGAAACTGAAGGAAACACTGTGGACAAGACCAAAGAATTTGCCTTTGAAATACTTATTAGACAAAGCTATCCACAAAGAGTGAAACATTCACAACTACTAAAAACAGTTAAGAAACCAGTAGAACAGGAAATATCCAGAGTTATTACCAGACAAGGAACGGTTGTGAAGAGCATGTTGGATGGATCCACCCAGGTAAATGTATAATTGTTCACTTATCATTAGTTTGTATTCAATTTTATTATAGCTTATTGGAAGGGCTAACTACCTGCAACACAAAGTCCAGGTTTAGCAAAAAAAATCTTGATTTTCCTCTATGTATTATTACACTTGGTTAATGTCACTTCTTCCTAAGTATCTTAACTGGAATTATGTAAAAGGAAATACTCACTGGGTTGCTGTGAGTTTTCTGGGCTATGTGACCATGTTTCAGAAGCATTCTCTCCTGACGTTTTGCCCATGGCAGGCATCCTCAGAGGTTGAGGGATCTGTTGGAAACTAAGTAAGTGAGGTTTATATATCTGTTGAATGTCCAGAGTGGGTGAAAGAACTCTTGTCTGCTTGAGGTACTTGTGAGTGTTGCAATTTGCCAGCTTGACTAGCATTTAATGGCCTGCACTTTCAAGGCTATGCTATGTTACATTGACCAGGAATGGCATGAACATCTTGGAAGGAATGACCAGGCTCTTATTCATACTCCCCATTGTACCATAATCTCTATCGTCACTACGAGCTTTTCATCTCTTACCCTCCCTATGTTTGATAGTGTAGCTGCTCCAGATCCTCAGTCTGTATGCATGGTCATCCATCTCTGTACAAATCCCCTATGCCAGCTTCATTGGGATATCTCACCTCTTCCTCAACCACGTCCACTGTGACTGCTTTGGTCCCTCCATCAGGAACAACACAGATTGTAATATTGACACACTGTTATCAAAACTCTGCAACATTACAGACATCTTGTCTGACTTAGGTTCCCAATACTACATTTGCTTCTGACATTCACCACCTCCTGTCCATCATCCAATGGGGACTATGAATCTGACCATCTTCTCCAGATTCCTTTTCCCCACTAGCTTTTTTGCTTTGAGATGAAGCATAGGACTACATCCCTGCACTCCATCCCAAGGATGTGAAGTTTTTTCCCCAAATATCATTCAGAGGATAGCAAAAGCAATTAGAATCCAAGGTATTTTTGAAACCCACCCCATATATCTCCAACCCAATGCTGATGGATTAATGTATCAAAATACATTAAGTATCACAGAAGAATGGATGAAAACATGAAGCAACAAAGACAAATAAAGATTCCTAAAGCATTATGGCACAGCAACAGAGGTTCTGTTATACAGATCATATCAATTAAATACAATTATATACAATTTGGAATACTGGACAGATTTATGTAAAAGTTTTGTAACTTGCCATTCGGGAGGCGGGGGGTGGGGGCAAAATACTGTTTGCTTACCATTGAAAATTACCTAGGGCCGGCTCTGTTTATATGAGTCTAGGTTTAGTTACCTTGGCTTCTGGAGATATTTGCTTTATTACCCATTCATTTTTTGTTGTTTTTTAACAGCCCACAGTATCCCCAGAACTTTGCTCCAGTACCACATCACTTTTACTTATTTTTTCACATTTCCTTTAAACTTTTTAGCTATTTTTGCTGCCAAATATTCTTATTGTTGTAACATTTTTAACATGATGCATTTTTTTGCTCTTCCCAAGATACTGTTTGCTGATGGCACTGTGATTAGGAGTCCAGATTCTGGGCCAGTAATGCCACCTCCACCTCCACCTCCACCTAGTACACCACATACCGAAGTTATACCTACTCCTGAAATACCCACCAAGAAAAGTAGTAGGTATACTTCTAATCCAGGGACTGGTTGTAGAAGTTGTGAGGAAAAAATATTCTAAAACTTTTTTCTTGATTTGTGTTTTATAGATCCCAAATGCTATGGATTTACTATTTTGTCTGATATCAAGAGGCAACCCTAAATCTACACGACAAAATACTGTCTTATCTCTGGGCCAAATATCTTATGATACATGGTGATAGGGTCTTAGGGGAAAATTGAATTGAACCATAAATCTGTCATTTTAATGGCAGTGAACTAGGATGCATAGCTGCCAGGCAGAATGATTTTTAATTTACCAGTTTTTCAACCAAATTATTACAATACATGTCTCTTTCCACACTAAATATTAGCTATGCTTTTGTAACAGTGCATAAGTTTGTTTTAGACGACTACTAAACTTTTTTTTGAAATAGTTACTGCACATAATGTTATGTTTTCCTACTTCAGAGGGCCCCCTGGTGGTGCAGTATGTTAAACCACTGAGCTGCTGAACTTGCTGACCGAAAGCTCGTGCTGTTAGGCCCAGCTTCTGCCAACCTAGCAGTTCAAAAACATGCAAATGTGAGAACATCAATAGGTACCGCCTTGGCGGGAAGGTAATGGTGCTCCATGCAATCTAGCTGGCCAAATGACCTTGGAGGTGTCTATGGACAACGTTGGTTCTTTGACTTAGAAATGGAGATGAGCACCAACCCCCAGAGTCAGACACGACTGGACTTAATGTCAGGGGAAAACCTTTACCTTTATCTATCCTGCTTCAGATCTGAAATTCAAATGATATTGCCAGTTAATAAGCCATGATTTGGTAAAAAGAAAGACCTTGCTCAAATTATGTCTGAGGTAATAAGTAATATATCAAATAAAATACCTCATTATGATTCAAGAAACACAACTATAGTGGAAAGTGAATTATCTGAGCTGTCACATATCACAACTAAGGAAAACACGTATTTTTGTGTGAAAGCAGACAACACATCTTTCCACAATACATCCATCTGAACAAAAGTCTATAAAGACACAATTTAATTAAACTTTTTTTCTAGTTTGTTTTATCAGTACTATGAGAAAAATAATGAGGTATCAATGCTTCTGAGGAATGTTAGCACACTACTCTAGTACAGTTCATGTTGAAGGGTTGCACAAAGCTTGATAATTTGATTGTCAGAGCTGTCTTGATGAGCCTACAAATTCAAAACACCTTCAAATTAAATATCTGGTAGAGACTATAAGATGACTTTATTGTGAATCAATCCATGCTTTGAATAAAATCAATCCAGTAATACCAATTAGCAACGGAAAAATATATAAAGTCTTCCATTTAACTCTCATTTTGCGCAGGGTGAAGAACAGCTGGTGGTGGGTGGAAAAATGTTGGCAAATGAAGTGATGATTATAGTATTACTAGCACTTAAAATATTATAGTTGCACATAAGAATAATTTTCTTTGTCTGATTCTCTAGAGAAAAATACCAAGAATGCACTTGTTCCAAAAGTTGAAACAGCTGAAACTGTTGTTCAGGATCATCTATCGGATACAGAACAACCCCCTGATGCCCTGGCAGGCACATGGATTTCTACTACCCCATTAGGCACTCAAATAGGCACTAAGGGATCAGAGAGACTTGATCTGAAACCCCTTTTGGCTTACCAGGCCACTGATCCAGTTAATGGAATGGTAATATTACATTATCAACCATTGTGACACAGTGATTTCATAGAATTCTCTTTCATAGTTAATCATATGACAGCAGTACATTCTTTTTGAAAGACCAGATTTTGCTTGTGTGTGTGTGTATACTCATGCTCAAAATTAATCGATTAATGAAATTGTATTGTTGTTGTTATACTGTTCCAGGTAATGACTATGAGAGAAGACAGGGTAGTTGTGGTGGAGAAAAGAGATGGTTCCAAAATAGTAGATCATGCTGATGGCACCAGAATAACCACCTTCTTCCAAGAGTGTATTGAAACTGTGATAACTAATGATAATGAAGAAACAGGTACAAGTTTAATGTCTACATAACAATTTTTCCAAGTGTTTGATTGAGAATCATTATGGTTTGAGTCTTGGACAAAGATGCCAAGAGCCAAAAGTTTCAATGTGTACTCCACCAAGGAAACCCACTGAACCACCTTGGGCAAGTTGTACTTTCCTTAGAAGAAAGTACAGTACAGTCTTGCTTATTGAACCTTCATTCATCCAACATTCTGTATTATCCAATGCAGTCTGCCTCCCGCCCGGATCCACAGCTCTTTCAATATATTGCAATGTTTTGGTGCTAAATTCGTAAATACACTAATTACTACATAACGCTACCATGAATTGAACTGCTTTTCTGTCTATTTGTTGTAAAACATGATGTTTTGTTGCTTAATTTGTAAAATCATAACGTAATTTGATGTTTAATAAGCTTTTCCTTAATCCCTCGTTTATCTAGTGTTCTGCCAGCCTATTTATGGTGGATAAGCAAAACTCTACTCTAGTAGTAAGCCTCCTCTAAATTAATCTTGCAAAAAAACCCTTCTATGATAGGGCTACCATATGTACATGTTCACTTGAAGGCATATAACAAAATTAAGTTTATCTTGCTGATGGAATATGTTTTTTGTTATTTTTGTTATAAATTTGGGGCAGTTTAAAGAGATCAAGAATTAAAATTACAGCTGCTTTTTTGCTCCCTAAAGTTTCTTGTGGTGATTAAATAATCCATCTTTATTCCGATTATAGCTGGAAATGTTGGAGATGTGGTAATTTCAGGGGAAATGTTCTCTTCCCCAAGCTCCCAGAGTTTTAAATCTGCTTACAGTTACCAGCACTGAAGTCCTTCACCTTCAGTCTGCCAGTTCTGAAAGATGATGTAGCCATTATCTCTCTTTAGATAGCAGCAGCTAGGGAAGGGAGACTACTTTCTTTCCCCCCACCTCCCCCTATACCTTGTAGACACCTCTGTTGTTCTCTGGAATGAACACAAATACATTCCAAGCATGAGATGTCTTAAGAAGGAAGGTGGAGAAAAGAAATAAAAAGTTAGGCATTTTATGGCATTGTCACCTTAAGAGTCTTAAATAGTGTTCACATGGTTTCAGCAATCCGACATTTCCAGGCTTTGTCACAGAAAATATATATATAATAACTTTGATAGAATTGTCCCAAAAAAATCTTGTATTTTGTCATTGTGTACAATATAATGGAGGGGCCCTCAGATGCACTCCTGTTCGCCCCTAAGAGGAACCTACAGCTCTCCCAAACCCTTAACAAGGCTGTTGTGAATGCTGTGCAGCTGGGCTCATGCTTGATACGGACTCCTTGCCTCTCACGCCCCCTTGCCGCCTCCTCCAGTGGGTGTGGTGCAGCTCTACATCAGAGATCTTAAAGGGACTGTTGTTTCATTGGGCAGCCAGTCTTCTCAACACAGTGCTCTGCCACTATCATTCAGCAACAGCATGGTCAGCCAGACAGTGAAGAACCCACCATTTCTCAGGCTATAGATAAAGAACAACAGCACCCTCAATAGGACAGTGCAGAGTCTGCCGTGGATCAGGTTACAGATCAGGAGCAGGAGCAGGAGCAGGTCCTTGATCTTGAAGCCCAGCTGCAGTTGATGAAAAATGGAATTCAAGTTCACGGGTCCAGTCATTTGGCATAGAAGAGGGCTAGCAATTGGGAGCAGCTGCGAGGGCAGTATAAATAGTTGGAAGTTGAGTTGAGGCAGTCAGTTGCTGGCAGCAACCTCTTTAATGGAGTTGTAATCTCAAGATCTGATGTGTTATTGTGGACATTCTGTGATGGACTGAATCTCGGATTTTGGCTGTGGATTGTGGATTACACCCTGGACTATGTTTGCTATGGATTTCCTGGCTATGAAACTTTGGAATGTCCTCACAGTTTGGTTTACTGTTTATCCCTCGTATACTGATTGACTTGTGCCTTGGACTGACTCTTGTTTATTCTTGTGTATTTGCAGCTTGCTACATAGCCAAGCTTGGGAGAAACCTGACAACCACACAAAAAGACTCTCTTGAATTCTTCTCATGTTTTCCTCTGAAGTGTGTGCTCACCCTGTGCTATTCCCCTCACATAAACACTTTGTTTCCTCAAATTGTCAGTACCAGTGATAAATGCTCTTTGGGATTAATGGATTAATGCCAATTGCCTAAATTTCATTGAAATGCATGCTACACCTCAATTATGGATTCAGACTTACTGAACTGCAGAACACAAAATGCATTACATTGTGAATAACTGAGGCTACATGCGATAATAATTTGAAACTCTATACCTCACCCTTTCAGGTGGGTGTTTTGTGGTTATAGAGATGTAGCCATTTCAAATCAGGTCCATCACTGCAACTCTATTCTGCCATTCAGGAACACAATCAAAGTAATTCTGACAGATTGCTATTCAGATTTGCTGTGTTTACTCTGCGCTTCACTCCAGGTCAATGTATTCCAACATCAAACAGCTGTTATCGTCAGAAAGCGCTTCCTAATATTTAGGTGTAATCTCTTTTTCTATCATTTTAATCCATTGTCCTATTCCCTTAGGCAGCAGAAAACAAGCTCTCTCCATCTTCAATTTGACATCCTTTAAAATATGAAAAAATTACTATCATGTCACCTTTTGACCTTCTCCAAGTTAAATGTACCCAGCTCCCTAAGCCACTCCTCATAAGTTCTGATTTGTAAACTTTTTTACTATTTTAGTCGGCTTTGTCTCAACAGATTAAATAAATATTTTTCCAGTAGTGTTTCATTCAACTTCTGAGGTATATGATAAGAACTCAAAAACCATCTTTATCAGATGTCCCTGGCCTAGCAGTTTCCAGACGTTATAGGCTCCAGATACCATTATCCCTGACAATTGTCATGTTGCCTTAGGCCAATATATGTTGCTGTCTAAAGCAGGCAGAGGCAAAACTGTGGCCCTCCAGGTGTTTTGGACTTCAACTCCCACAATTCCTAACAGTTGGTAAGCTGGCTGGGATTTCTGGGAGTTGAAGTCCAAAACACCTGGAGGGCCGAAGTTTGCTCATGCCTTGTCTAAACCATCTGGAAGGCACCCAGTTGGGGAAAACTACTTGTGAGAAATAATGTTGCATTCTTCAATGTAAATGTTCTCATATTTAGTATAATTTCTCTTCTGAAGTTATGCTGATCTGTTTTCATCCTTAGAAATGACCTCCCAGGACATCATAAGAAAGGTGAAGTGCATGCGTATAGAACATCCAGATTTTGCAACTGTCATAACAAATTGTGAGGACAGCACCTGTTGTGCTATTTTTGCTGATGGTACCTCAATTATATCAAACCCACAAGGAACATACCAAGTGAGTCTTAGTATATGGCCATGTCCAAGCTTCTTATATCATGGTGTCCTGGTTGTTTCATTGCTTTCCATACCCCAAATTTCCCATTATTTGAAGTTTGTTGTGAATTCATTAAAAGTCATTAGTTTTCACACAGCATCCTAGGCTGATCCCACAAGAGTTGTCATTTTTGAATCATATGGAAAACCTCTGGAGGTTGGGTGGACTTACTGCCCACCTTCTCAAACTCATTACTGTTGTTGTTGTTATAGTTACACCCCACTTTTCCACTACAAAAGATTAAAAATGACTAGGACAAAATCATATAACAATGTGTGAATTAAAACCTAAGCATATAAACACTGAATTGAACTAAACATGGAAATATTAAAATACATTGGTATAAGCAATAAAACCATTAAATAAATCTATTACATTACATAAAACACAACACCCCTTAGTTCGATCTTACACTCCACTTCATCACTGCTGGAAAAAATTCCGCTGCCACTAATATACCATCAAATTTCATTGGTGCAACAAATAAATACTATAGTTTACCTTAAAACAAATAATGTCTTAAGGACATACTTTCCTTTCAAGCTGAATGTTGCTTCATGGAGGATATTTTCTTAGGTATCATCTGCACAAAACCAAATCTGGCTGTCTTCATGACATCCCTCAATTCCTGGTAGATATCACTGGGTTAATCAGGCCAATCCACTTTTGTTTTCTAGTAAACAAAAGTTGGGGAATGCTCTGGAATATGCCTTGGTGAGAGTTCTCTGTTGGTGTTTGCCTCAGTGAGAGCTTACCAATATAGGTGCCTTGTGCTAACAATAGTAGAGGCACCCACACAATCAGGAAGGAGGGAGGATCGCCCCATTTTTCTTCCTGGTTGTGCAGATGCCTCTGCTGTGGTCATCTGGAAGTGGTGAGGCAACATGAATGGTAAGGTGGCAGTTCAACGGAGCCAAATTGGTCTCATTCTGACTGGACCAGCTGGACTCTAACCCACCACCACCATAGGTTTGGAACAGTGCAGATGGCCAAAACCTGTCCAGAGCCATTCTGCTCCGGGTTGGCCCCAAATCAACCAGCCAATGCAGATGAGGCCTTAAAAGGGGTTTTCCCATTTCTGTTACACTAAAGTTCAGCAGTAGGGCACACAAAATGGAATTGAGATTACTAGCAAGTATTCAGAAATAACAGTTACTCTGAAGTATAAAGTGATGCTTTTCACACTATGACTCATCCTTGGTTTTCATATAATTTGCAACAATTGGTTATATTCAAGGTGAAGTTAAATCTCTTTTCTTCTCATCATGGTAGATCTTACCCATGAACAAAGGCTGTCTCTTCATTGACAAAGATTGTTCTGCAGTTTATTCCCCCGAAGCATTTGAAAAAAATGATTGTGAATTTATGTCTAATGTTGAAGACCAGCAGGCAGAGAAATACATTATGAAGCATAATGCCAACATTGTCTGTGAAGTAATGGATCCTGCTGGGAACATTTTCAAGGTAAAAGTTCATTACAACTTTATTTTTGAAATAATTCTGCAGGTTTGTTTTGTGTGGCTTGATTGTTCTTTGTGGTCTCTAGCACTCATGCTGTATCACTCAATCCCAAGCCTGATAATTACAGAAGTTTCATAGATTAAATCTAGACAAAATCAACACTGGGCAGTAAATGTAGTAAGCTTGGTACCTGGGGACATATATTCTATTTTAAGCAGCTATAGTTCTCTGTATCAAGCCTTCACCAGAAGCAAGCTGGCATTGACAACTTCTCTTGATAGTTATAGTTGGAAATGGCTTTTTCTTAAGTGCTACCAGAAATAACAGAAGTTTCAGGAGGCATGTTACAGAAATGCAATTCTGTTTTTTATTGCAGGTCATGGCTGATGGCAGCACATCAGAATACATTGCTTCCCTTGATTGTGAAGAAAAGAAATCAGAATCCACTTATACAGAGACTCCAGTCATATATGGGGAGCATGCTCCCAGGTATGTTATCAGTATATGGCAGGGGTCCCCAAACTAAGGCCCGCAGGCCGGATGCGGCCCGCCAAGGGCATTTATCCGGCATGTGCGGCCTGGCCTGGGCTGGCGCAAAGCCCCTCGCCATTTCTCTCTCTCCCTCCAGAGCGGCTTCAGGCGGGGTCGCGCCGGACCAGGCTTCTCCCTCTTTCTTTCCTTCCTTCCTTCCTTCCCCTTCCCCCTTTCTCTCCCTTTCCTTCTTCCTTCCTTCCTTCCCTCCCGTGTCTACTGGGTGGGAATGCCGGCCCGGGGAAGCCAGCGTTGCCTGGCCACGCCCACCTGGAGGCGCCTCTGCTTGTTCTCCTTGCGCGGCTGGGAGGGGAACAGAAGGCGCAGCGGATCTTCTTCTGCTGCGCTGTCTTGTTTTCCGTGGCCACTAGGCACCTCCTGCTTCCCTCCCAGCCGCGTCAGGAGAACAAGTGGAGGCAGCGCCTGGCCCGGTGTCCCCACGGAGAGAAGGAAGAAGGAAGGAAAGGAAGGGAGGGAAGGAAGGAAGGAGGGGAAAGGAGAAGGAAGGGGAAGGAAGGGGAAGGGAAGGGAAGAGAAAGGGGCAAGGGGTGGGAAGGAAGGAAGGAAGGGAGGGAGGGAGGGAGGGAGGGAGGGAGGGAGGGAGGGAGAAAGAAGCCTGGTCCGGCCAAGTTTGGTCCAGATCCAACATTGTTTGAGTCCACAGTGATCTCTGGATGTAGGTGAACTCCAAAACCAAAGGACACTGCCCACCAAACCCTTCCAGTATTTTCTGTCGGTCATGGGAGTTGTGTGCCAASTTTGGTTCCATTCCATCGTTGGGGTGGTGGGGGTGTTCAGAATGTTCTTTGATTATAAATCCCAGGAACTACAACTCCCAAATGTCAAAATCAATTTTTTTGAATGAAGGACATACATTGGGTTGTTAAGTGTCCAGTGGTTTTTGATTGCTGTTAATCCCACAAATGAACATTACATTTTTATTTATATAGATTTATTTCCTATATTTATACCCTGCCCTTCTCCCCCTGAAAGGGGACTCATGCTTACATATGCCAAAAAATCACTTTCAAAACAACAGAAAATATAATTTTTTCCCTCATTTTCATTGGAACTATTTTATTTTCAGAAATGCTAAAGCTATCTTTTTCTATGTATTCCTATATTGCTTTCAGCAGCCCACGGTTGGGTGTGTGTAGAGTTCTCTTTATATTTATGGCGGCCCCATGAATTTAATAGGGTTTTCTTTGAGAGGAAATACTAAAAAATAGTTTTGTCAGTTTCTTTCTCTGAAATAGAGCACCTGCTATTCATTTGTGGCTTCCCAACCAAATACTAACCAGAACTGGCCCTGCTTAGCATTCCAGGTCAGAGACATTTAATCTTTCATTGACTTTGCCAGGTATTATTCTTCTGTACAGTAGTCTCTGTGACCCCCTGTGACCCAACCTGGACAGGCAGTCCCCAAGTTACAAACACATTATGTAGTTTTGTCCTCATTGAGGGCTGAACAGTCAACATATTCATGGATTCCCTGCTGTTATATTAAGACTGTTACACATGCTGTGACATGCTTGAAATCAAAATTTCATTTATTTGTAATTAGAAATAAATATTTCACAATATATATTACATATTGTTTTTGTGATTAATCACTATGCTTTATGTTCAGATTGTAACAATAAAAATACATCGTGCATATCAGATATTTACATTACAATTCATAACAGTAGCAAAATAAGACATGTGCAGTGTGCATAGGAATTTGGTCATTGTTTTTTTAAAAAAACTATAGTCCAGCCCTCCAATGTTTAAAAAGTTTGGGGACACCTGGTATATGGTGTTTCCTCTAAATCAGTAGTTCTCAACCTGTGGGCTGCGGCCCAGCAATGGATTGCGAGAACAAAAATCCATTCTGCAAACCTCCTTCCTCTTTATTTATTTTATTATATTAATTTTATTTCCACTCTTTTCCGCAGAGCTGACCATTGCATTGGATAGACCACATCAGCTCTAGATTATTAAACATGGTTTCCTGTGGGGAAGCAGATGGCGACTACTGGATGGCATATGTTCTGTATCAGAAACTAGAATGGACGTGGTGTATCCAATGAAATTTTCTGAATCAGCACCCCAAATAACCAAACTGAATCTAAAGTTGACCAAAAACTGTTTTGTAACTCTTTTGGCACTAATGTTGGAGAGTGGTCCTGGTCAAAGTGGTCCCCCGTCAAGTGGGCCCTGGTTAAAGTGGCCGCCTTTCTCCAGAGTGGACCCAAGGCGGCTCACAACATATTTTAAAATGTACATACAAATATTAAAACCATTAATTAAAACCCATGTGTAATATTCAGTTATTCTTAAAACTGTCCATGGTTTAAACATTAAAGATAATGCAGTCTAAAATCCTCATATTTCAATGTCCATAAAGTGTCTGGCTTCAGTTAAAAGCTGCTTCAAAGAGCCCACCTTTTTCAATCAACTATTAAGTGCAAGGATCTATAAACTAAGTGATCTTAATCTTAATTCTGATCATATTTCTTCTTTCTCATAAGATGAAAGTTCTGTGGATTAGTGGTTTCTTTGCTTAAGAATTAGGCAAGCAACCTGTCCTGGAATAGGTTGTGCTCTTAGCAGTGGTTCCCTACCTTTGGTCCTCCAGGTATTTTGGACTTCAGCTCCCACAATTCCTAACAGCTGGTAAGATGACTGGGATTTCTGGGAGTTGAAGTCCAAAACACCTGGAGAACCAAAGGTTGGGAACCGCTGTCTTAGAGGAACGGGTTCACACAGTGGGATTAGTCATGGCTCTGTCTCTTTCACAAGAGTGCCCATGTTTATCTGGTGCCAGCTTTGGCTTTTCCTATACAGAAAGGAACTCATCACAATGATCCATGCACTAGTAACCACTGAATTAGACTACTGCAGTGCACTCTGCACTGGATTCTACACTGCCTTGAAGAATTTTCAAAATTATTGCACTGGGTACCACTATACTTCTGGCCTGAATTGAAGGTTCTCTGAGATGACATTTTTCTGGGCATCTCAGTCCTTCAAAAACCACAGAAAAATGCCCTCCTCTCTGTTACACTACTGGGAGCAACACACTGCATAAGGGTGCAGTGAGGGTGTTCTTTGCCATCATCCTTTGATTATGGAATGCCTTTCCTTACAGGTCCAGTTGTGCCAGCTCTAGTTTCTTTTTGACATCAGATTAAAGCATAGCTTTCTATAAAAGCCTTGGGGGGATCTAACAATTTTTTCAAAATATGTACATATTTTGAAGTGTTTCTGTAAGTTGTGACTGTTGAAATGTTTAACAATTTAAAGGATTAAATTGTTGAATATATTTTAGAATGCATACATTAACAAGATTACATTTAAAATGCTCTAAATGGTTTTAAATTGATTTATCTGAATGCTGCCCTGAGATTCTGAAACACAGGGTAAGATATGATTGATTGATTGATTACAGTAAATCGATATATCATGATGATTAGATTTGTGTGACTGACTGTTTAGATTCTTCATTGTCTATGCTGATGGCTCAGGAACTGAACTGCTCCGTACAAAGGACACAGAAGAATATCTTGCAATGGCATATGGGGATCCAGTTACAGTAGTTCTGCAAGAACCGATACAAGAATGCCCAGGCAAGAATGAATAATTCCACCCATACTGTATTATTAATTTTCAAGGCTTTTCCCCTCAAATTTTTTCTGTGTTTTGTATATTAGACGCGTGTTTTGCGTATTCCATTATTTGGACAGGCATGTATTTGAGAGGTAGGGTGTTGTGGGAGTGAACAGAATGAAAACATTATATTTGTATAAAATCAGTTTTGCAGTTACTTAATTCACAAGTTTCTTAAATCAAACAGACCCAAGTGCGGAGTAAATTGAAAGATTGTTAACCTTTCAGAAACTTATTAGAAAAATATACTATGTGTCCCACCTTTAAGTTCGAGTTTTGGACTGTGTTTCTTGTCAGCATTTTTGTAAGTCTCTTTAGCATACCATATATACTCAAGTATAAGTTTTGCAGCCCTTTTTTAGGCTGAAAAAGCCCCCTTCTGCTTATACTCGGCTTCTATATACTATTTTACTGGGTTATTATTATTATTATTATTACATATATTATTTTACTCTATTTATTATTATTATTATTATTATTATTATTATTACATTTACATTACTTTACTCTATTATTATTAATTTTATTACATTTATTATTTTACTATATTATAAGTGTTAATTATTACATTTCCATTATTGTACTCTATTATTATTATTACATTTATTATTTTGTTCTCTTTATATGGAAGCACACTTACATTGAAGAAGGTTAGAATAATGATTTAATCAGAGTTGGGTATCTTATCTTAAATTACAGTTTTATGTAAATATTCAAAAACATTTAACCTCCTGATGTCTCAATGAATGTGATTTTATTGGCATCTATTTTTGTTTTGAAATTTACCAGTAGCTGGTGAATTTCCCACCCTTGACTTATACTCGAGTCAATATGTTTTCCCAGTTTTTTGTGATAAAATTAGGTGGCTTGGCTTATATTTGGGTTGAAGTATATACATAATTCCTACTCCACTTCCAATTCACAAGTGTGGTTGCCCTTCTCCAACTGCATGCTTGCAGCGATTCAGGATAGTATGAGTTCTAAAAATCTGTAATGTATAATCTAACTCTAGTTCAGAAAACAACAGTTCTCAAAGATGTAGAAGTTTTATTCAGCAAATGGTGTTGATCATAGCATAAAGCTGTTGTTAGGACAGAAGGCTTATACAGTATTGTTAAAGAACCATGTGCACCTGGCCCTACATATGGCAGCATACAATAAACAATCCCAATCTTGTGGGAAAACTAGGCACCATTTCATCCAGGATACAGATATACAACGCATGGTTTAAAAGCATGGCAGAAACTATGATTCTTACATGCCACCGCTTCTCTAGGCAATTGATTACTTTTGTCGTCCACTCTTTGTTGTCAATATGTTTCTTCTAGTGTTTAATTGAAATCTGCTCTCCTATCACTATAAACTCCTACCCTGGGGTTGTACCTTATGGGGCAGCAGATAATACATCTGCCCCCCTCCTTTCTGTGGCAACCCTTAAGATATTCTCTTTACCAGGCTGAACATGCCTAGCTCCTTCTATTTTTCCTCTATTGTTTTGTTTGCCATATCGCTTATCAACTTTGTTGCCCTTCTCTGATCCTGCCCCAACTTACCTATAGCCTTTTAAAAATGAGATACCCAGAACTGAATGCAGCACTCCTGGTGAGGCCTGTCTAGCACATTGTGACTTATTTGATGATGATGATGATGATGATAAAATAAAATAAAAAACTTTTACTTGTAGACCGCCCTATCTCCCTGAAGGGACTCAGGGCAGTTTCCAACATATATAGCAAACATTCATTGCCAACACAGAGACATATTGACAGATTGCATCAAAGCAACACACATCAAAGAAAATAGAACAGCTATTACTAGAAACCTAATACCAAATAGAAAGTAACAACAACAAAAAACTTAACAACCCTAACAGACATAATTACGTAATATGAATTTAAATGAGAAATGAGAAAAACAACTAAAACCTTATTAAGGGATACAATTGTTATTTCCCTTGACTTGGAAGCAAATGCAGACTAAAATAAAATTTGCCTTCTTGCTACATTACTATACTGGCTCATCTTCAGTGTATCCAGCAATAACCCCAAGATCCTTTTTACATGTAGCAGTCCTTATCCAATATCCAATATATTTGGTTTTTGGCCTAAATGTTACATTTTGCAATTGTAGTTATTGAATTTCATTTATTTTTGCATGATTCCTGGGTTATTTAAATGTTTTTAAATTCTTTTTCATTGTATTTGGGGGAGAGAGAGAGAGAGAGATTGAGAGATTGATTTTTGGCAGGATTTATTCTTGACAGACCCACGTTAGCTCCCATTGCTCATTGTCATCAGGATATTTGCAGACAAACTCCTGTACAATCCTTTCTAACATTTTTACTTATTTGTGGCCATACTAATTGATCCATAGTTTCCTGGATTGTATTTTTTTAAAGAAAGAGACAGTGTTTTAAAGAAAGTCCATATCTAGATAGGCATTAAAATATGTATATAATTTCTCTCCAGTAATAATTAAATTGGTTGCAGCAGCAAAACAACACTACAAGCAATCTAACTATGTACAGATGGATTCTTGTATCTACCAACAGATGATATGCTTTTGGATTATACTTTGCTATGCACTTTTAACATGTGAAATTTGTCCTGAATAACTTCTCAATTATTGATATGCTTTTCTATAAATCTTTCAATTTAGGAGTCTTAAGCATTACTGTCATCTGTCCTTTAACTGTGACATCTCAATGGGTAATGAAGAGAGATCCTACCACTGTTGTTCCTTATAATCTCCAATCAAGAGCTTGGGAAAGATTTCCTCCGGTTGAGGTATACAGTTTTCAAAAGAAATGTTTTTAATATTTCATTGTGACATAGTAATAGTGAACTTATTTAATGCACATGATATATTATATTAATTGTGTATATAGAAAAATCCTCTGGAAAACCAAATACACAAATATGTAGGCATTGATCTCTGTTCTCTATTCTTAGAACTCCCCTTACAGTATCTTTTGTTTTCTTTTTTAAAAAAATCAGTTCCAGAGACTCTTCTGCTGTTTTACTTTTGACTTTCAACTGAGTAATTATCTTCCTCAAAACCTCCTGAAGAGGTTTTTTTTCCCAACTCTGCCAGGAACTTTAATCCCCTTACAGTCAATTATCTCAGGGTTTCTTTCCTCTGCCTTTATTATAGCTTACTGATTTTAATTTCTTGAATGCCCCCATATCTTCTCTGTGACTTCCATTTCTCCTTTGGAAAAAGTCACTTTCAACACATACTGCTCTTGCTAGTATTACACCATCATTTTTCCCCTTTGACATAATCCTTTTCTCAGTTAATTATTCCAGCTCTTGATTTCCTGTTATCCTGGTTTATATTAAATTTCCATTATTCATCAGGGAGAAGAGCAGAATGATACAGCTATGCCACCATCTCTCACAGCCACCATCACCCCAAATTTACTTTTAATAACCTTTTTCTATTGCCCATCAACCTAGTCATAAGAACATGTGTTCACATTATAACATTGTGTTGGATTTTAAAATACATAGTGTTTGATTTAAAAGTAATCATAATTTGAAATTTTACAATTGTTTATCCGTCATTTGTTTATTCAGAAGTGAAACTTTCTGCCCCGGAGTGTGAAGGAGGTTCCTTCTTTGGGGGCTTTTAAACAAAGACTGGATGGCCATTTGGGGGGTGCTTTGAATGTGATTTTCCTGCTTCTTGGCAGGGGGTTGGACTGAATGGCCCATGAGGTCTCTTCCAACTCTAGGATTCTATGATCCCAATATGTGATTCCTGTTTTGCAAGTTATAGCATTTCTTCTGTCTGTCTGAAAGCAGATTTGTTAACAGGCTGTAGCTAAGATGAACATTGCTAAGATGTTATTCTGCTGAAATATCTCTTTTCATCATTTGGGTTCAGAGAAAAACTCCAGGCCCTCCATTTGGAACACATGCTTGGAAAGGTCTATGCATAGAATTCAAAGAGCTGGCAAATTCTCCTGCACCTATACAAAAATGTCCAGATGTACTCCAGATTCATCGATTGATCCAGTACGAGCCAATTACTGATGAACTGAGACACAAATTGCAGGTTTCTGTCAAGGTAAATCAAGTCCTAGCTGGGTAAAGCCACAGGTATTTCTCAACATTAAATATAAGTAATTAAACATAGATAATATATGAATAATAAAACTCAGCAGGAGGATTCAGATAGCAGGAGAAGGACAGCAGGCTTCTCAAGAAATTGGAGGAAAAATATGGTGACTTTGAAACTTTAGGATTAGGACTGATAGACTAACAAAAGTAATAAAGTAAAAATGCACTCTTATCAGATTTTACATTTACTCTCTTGCCACTGTGATAAATATTAATATCTGCTACCTATGTTTAGGATTGCAGCCTAAGAAAACTTCTTCATATTACTTTCCACTGTCTTGTTAGGAGTACATTGACAAAATAATGAAGCAGGAAGAAGAAATTAATGAAATGACCATCAAAGACCCAAGAATAGAAGAGGAAAAGGAACATGCTGCAGATCTCCTCAAGCTAGTTATGGTGATCAAGATACACATTTTAAATGGTTTAAAACAAAAAAAAAACATTGCTATCACAACTAGCAACAGTGATTCATCTCCAACATAGCCCCATATTTTTCTTCTGTTCCATTTTCCCCTACATTTCTTGTTCTTTGCAGCAAACTATTTTACTTGTCAAAAGAGAAACAAATCTTAACAAACCACTAGACCAGCAGTTCTCAACCTTTCTAATGCCGCGACCCCTTAAAACAGTTCCTCATGTTGTGGTGTCCCCCAACCATAACATTATTTTCATTGCTACTTCATAGCTGTAATTCTGCTACAGTTATGAATCGTAATGTAAATATATGATATGCAGGATGTATTTTTATTCACTGGACCAAATTTGTCTTTATGTCCTAATAAAGTTACACTTATTTTAATGTTTTAAATCTCTTGACCCTTAAGTGTGATGTGCTTGTATGGGACTGTGTCTTTCTTCTCTCGAGCTAGTCATTGGCCGTAATAAAGTGAACTTGAACTTGAGCCCCATTATCAGGAAAAAGGTGGGATAGACCTGAGTAAAAATTAAAATAGTAAAAATAATTGGGTAAAATGAGAGTCCAAGACATTTTTCTGTGACCCCTTTCCACCTTATAAATATTCACATGAAATATTTCATATATGTACTAGCCATCCCCTGCCACATATTGCTGTGGCCCAGTCTGTGTACATGTGTTTTGAGTGTATATATATGTATGTATATATTTGTGTATATGTATGTTTGCATATATATATGTGGTTTTGCGCATGACTTCTAATGTATTTTTGCTTTTTTTTTGTGTGCTTTTTAAGTCTCTTCTGCTGTGTTTTCAATGTTTTTATGAGTGATGGTCACTCATTGGAATGATACATGTATTATGCCCAAATTTGGTGTCAATTCGTCCAGTGGTTTTTGAATTACGTTAATCCCACAAACAAACATTACATTTTTATTTATATAGAAGATATAAAATAGATATACAAATCAAATATTTACAGACCGATTTCATTTTTATGAAGTACAGTTGAAGCATATTGTTGTTGTTGTTGTTGTTGTTGTTGTTGTTGTTGTTATTAACTTTATTTATACTCTGCCTTTGTCCCTACAGGGACTCAAGGTGGCTACCACACTTCGTAAAGTTTAAAAAGTGCAATACAAAAGTTGCATAGTAGCAGTATGGAAAAAGCAGATTAAAATACACAAATACACTTAAAATAGAGGCCGCTGTAAACACTGCACATTATTGCCATTTAATAAGCAATGCCCTAGGTGGGATAAAGTTTTGATTGGATAAAATTTTGATCACTGAAATGATTCAACTATATATGTTTATTTGTGTATGTGCAGTCTTTCCACAGCCTTGAAGAATCTTCAGAACCTTGTACTAGAGGTAAGAACTTCTATGCTCTATTTTTATGACCTTCATTTCCTGTTTAGCTCACCTCTTCTTCTAGTTTGACCTTCATCAAGACAGATGGGACTCTGTTTTACAGAATTACCACAGAACCTATATCTACAACCTCATTTTTTTGAAGAGTCATAAACAATAGCTAGCACTTACTGAGTAGTTATGAATGTGTAAGGTAGACTTTCTCATTTGGGATTCATTCAAGGTATTGTATATTCCTTTACCGTATCCATGAACATTGAGTAATTATTTGGTATTTGTGGCTCTGTTGCCATGATCACAAAGTCACTCCCTCAGCCTACCTGAAAATGTCATCTTGTTGTGCCCTAGTAATCAGCAAAATAGATCTCATTTCCATATAGTCTCACTCCAAGCAATGACGGTGAACTACCCAGCTGGGTCACCTACCTGAGCAGCTGCAACTTAACCTCCAACTGCTTTTCAGTGATTTAACTGCAAACTCATTCCACATAAAAGAGCTGTTCCATGCCGATGCCTTGCTTCTTACTCTGTCCTTCCACCACTCTCCTTACTAAGAATGAAGTGTATGGTCCTCTAAAGCCAGAGTTTTAGATCTGATCCTAACCAACAATGATGGCCTAGTTAATAGGGTAGAAGTGGCAGGAGGAAAGTGACCATGTTCTCCCGGAGTTGTTATACAGCAGAAAGTGGGTGCCAAATGTAGTCAGACACACTTTCTAGACTTTAAGAAAGTTGATTTCAGTAAATTTTTGGAATACTAGCATGAACCTGTGGTCAGGAATTCTAAAAGAGAAGGGGGTTCATGATGAATTAGAGTTTATTTCAAGTGATTTGTTGGAGGCACAATTTCATACAGTTTCAATGGGAAAATAAAATGGAGATGTCCAAATAAATCAAGGCTCCTTCCACACAGCTGCATAAAATCCCACATTATCTGCTTTAAACAGGGTTATATGGCAGTGTGGACTCAGATAACCAGTTCAAAGCAGATATTATGTATTACCTGCCTTGATATTCTGGGTTATATAGCTGTGTGAAAAAGCTCCAAGATGGAGGTCTAAGGAACTTTCAACTGAGTTAAGATTTAAAAGGGTCATGTCCAAGAGTTGGAAAAAGGGGAGAATTACAAAAGAGGTGTTCAGGTATATAGATGTCAGGTTTATTGAGATAATCAGAGAAGCTAAAGCACCAGTTGAGGCTTGCTAGAAAAGTATTAAAATTAAAAGGGCTATTTTTGTTAACTCCTTAGCCCCCCCCCCAAAAAAAAGGGGGGGGAGGGAGAAAGCACTAGGGTGAATGAAAGGAGAAAATGTTGAAATGTTATCAGGGGTCAGAGAATAGGCGAAATATGCAGCACTTTCTTTGTCTTCTCCCCCCCAAAAAACCAGTGCTAAATCTGGGTAAAACGAAGCAGATAATACAATAGGGGGAAAGCAGGTAATATGGTAATGCCTAAAGCGAATTTAAGTCTGCTGTGGCATATCAGCTACATCCAAGGGTATTGAAAGAACTGGCATAATTGATCTGAGAATCACTAGGAATTATCTTTGAGAATTCCTAGAGAATAGGAGATATTCCAGTGGACTGAAGGAGGACAAACATTGTTCCCATTTGCAATTGTCTGATTACTGAATGGATCAGAGCAATCAAAACTATGTAAAAGGATTCTTCAATCAACCAGAAAAATGTATGTTCACAGAAAATACTAGTCTTCTTTACTTTTTAATAGGCATGCCATTTTTAATTTATGATTAATAATGTTTGTTTTCTGTTCTGTCTTTGCCAAAAAAGCTGCTCAAATTGCTGACATATATGAGCAGGCTGTAACTTCCCAGTCACAGAGTCCGTCAGCAGAGGCACTCGCAAGGAAATCTGAGGAATATTGGCAGAAATTACGGTAAGAGGTCAGAGGGACAAGAGGTTATCATAAGTCATACCACTGACTTGATTATTACTGTCTATACATGTATATAAGAGAAAAAGTTAGAGAGAGACTAGTTGAGAAAATGATGGAGAGCAGGAAGGAAGGAAGGGAAACCACAATTCAGTCTTTCAGACAATTTACAAAAGTTCTAAWTTCCCTACGTGTCTGTGCTGTGAATGCGCACTAATGGTACTTCTGCGCATGCGCAGCCTCGCTCCGGAATCTTCAGTTAATTTTTAAAAAAGAAAAGCGGTTGGCCCCGCGCACACTCCCCAGGATAGCATAAATAGCCCGCGGCTGGCCAACCGCCTCCWGATCTCTTCATCCGCGCTAAAGCCAGCMAGCTCGGATCTTCTCTAATCTCAGATCACTCCTTTTATTGCTTTAATAAKCCTTTTATTGTTTTATTATTATTTATYTCTGCTAAATGGCACAGATGTCTAATACAAAAGGTTTCAAACGTTGCTCTGCCTGCCAGGGCAACTTTCCGGACAATGRTGCACATTCCTTATGCATCGCATGCCTCRGTGAAGGACATTTRACRCAAGCTTGTGCGATCTGCCAGTCCTTTACACCAAAAACGAGAARAAACAGGGAGATCCGTTTAAAGGCTGCCTTGTATGAACGGGCGCTTCTCCCTGACCTTTATCAAAATAATAGCCAAAAAGAGCAAGCCTTACCTGCAATGGCRGCCCARTCGGGTGCYATGARGAAGACCAAGAAAACCAAGGCTTCGCAAAGCAAATCGGCCGCTGCTAGGTTCCCRAAGGCCGTAGAARYCGAGGCCACAGCTTCCAAGGCAGCCTCTCCCTTTGAGAAGGGAAATGGGACTCCTCCACGTGGCTCCAAAGCTAGAATGGAGCCAGCATCGACCTCCGATGACACTATTTGCAATCATGTATTGTCAAAGGCATTCATGGCTGGAATCACTGGGTTGTTGTAGGTTTTTTGGACTATGTGGCCATATTCTAAAAGCATTCTCTCCTTACGTTTCACCTGCATCTATGGCAGGCATCCTCTGTGGTTGTGAAGTCTGTTTGCAATCAGCTTTGCAGGCACAAGTCTCCATTCCTTCCCCTTCATACTATGTAATGCTTTATGCAAATAAAATCATGGCCAATTTTAATTCCAGTCAGGGTGTCCAAATGTTATATTGATGGAATGGACATTATTGAAATCATTAGACGTAGGTGTACTATTGTTAAATGTTTCATTTTTATTTTGAGGTTATTGTTAGTATTAATAATTATTTCATAGTAATAAATAATTTCAATAATTAAATAGTGACATTGTTTAAATTTTTTTATTATATATTTCAAAAATGATAGCATGTGTTTTAATGGATAATATCTTTTTAATTTTTATTTCATTTCTTTTCATGCAGCCTAGAAGAGCAAGGTCGGATAGCCCCCTGGCAGATCAAGTTAGAGCAAACCAGGTAATAGTGTTGCTAGATGGCAGTCTTGTTCGTTGTACATTGTAATTCCAGTTTACTTGTCAGAACATATCTCCCGCTACAATCCACCTAGGGCCCTGATATAATCCGGGAAGACCCTGCTCATTGTCCCCCCATTATCACAATCGTGCTTGGTGGGGACAAGGGACAGGGCCTTTTCTGTGGTGGCCCCTCAGCTGTGGAACTCCCTCCCACGTGAAATTAGATCTGCTACATCCCTCTTGACCTTTTGGAAACAAGTGAAATCCTGGCTATGGGATCAGGCCTTTGTAGATTAGGTTGACCTGCTGATGTGACAGCTTTTATGGAACTGACTGACTGTTCCTTGGACGATGACATAAACTGACGACTGTTGACTGATTGATTGTTTTTTATACTGTTTTATATTGTTTTATACCGTTTTGTTGCTATATTGTTATTTAAATTGTATATTTATGTTTTGGTTGTGGGCACCATGGGGTGTCGGTCTGTTAGCCGCCTTGAGTCCCTCTGTGGAGGTTGGGATAGGGCAGGGTACAAATGACCGAAATAAATAAATAAATAAATCAGAAGTTATTGACTGAAGGCAACTGGGGCAGCTATATGTCTTGCTGATGTCTATAGGTTCTGAATAAAACTCTTGATTCTAATATTATATTTATAGAGCCTTTCCTGATATATATATATGCAAAAGCATGCCATGCCTACATTGGGCACGTAAATCCGTCTCCGAGCAGCCCCAGGTCTCGCTTGTATGCACTGAATCTAGGGCCAGTGTCCTAGGCAGAACTGCAAGGCAGAACAGCCAGAACTGCATTGACTGTCTGGACCAGTATGAAGATCCAGGATACTCCAGAATTTCCAGCAAACTCCAGGGCATCCCTTAACTTTTTCTAAAGTAGGGCAAATTCGGATTAAACTTTCCCAAAACCAGGCTACTCACCAAAAGTCACCATGTGTCATGGAGACAGACAGTGGTAGATTCACAGCAACTCCAGGTTTTTGCTCGAATGTAAACAAGCTCATAGTTAATCAGATTCTCACAATTGCACTAGTAAAGGTTTTGTAAATAAAGTAAGTTTTAACTGTGCGAAGGCCCCTCCAGCCACTACTGATGCCTGAGTTTCAAGCATCAACGCTGAGTCCAAGAGGACCCCCAGATCTGTGTCCTCAGGGGGAGTGTAACCCTATAAAGCACAGGTGGCCACCCTATACCCCAATCGGCCTCACGATTGATGAGGAAGACCTCTGTCTTGTCTGGATTAAGTTTCAGTCAGTTTGATGTCAACTTTCCTTGTACTCTGTGAAGAAAGGAAAGGGTAGCTTCTTCCATTCCTTCTATTTTTTGTGGCCCAAGTGTATAGGTAGGTATAGCCATTCACTTTACCCCTTTATTAACTGCAGAAATAGTAATATCATTCTGTTAGGAAACTCTTCTGAATTAATGCAGTTTCGCATTACTTCGCTGCCATGACTGAATGCTATGGAATTTGGGAGTTAGGTATTTATAATCAGGTCCAATCCAAAATTACAGCATATGTGATTTGGGCGGATACACAGAAGGATAAAATGGAATAAATTTAAAATAAATGGAAGACATATATAGAATGGATAGAAAGAGGCGAAGCCAATGTAAATATTATACAGAAATTAAGGAAATTGTGTGCATGGTTAAAGATAAAGATATAGGGTGGTCAGGAGGGAAGGATGACAGGGTGGGGATGAGGAGTGTTAACAATGGAAATGTTATTGAAGGATGTATTAAAAGGATGTATTAAAAAGAAGGTACAGACAAAAATGTTACATGAAAATGAAGTGTGTATAAATATGAGCGCCTATGTATAAATAAAATGTTGTAACAACAATAAAAATATTGTGAAATTTGGGAGTTTTAGTTTGATGGGGCGCTAGCACTATTTGACAATGATGTCTAAAGATCTCATAAAATTGCCACTTCCCTAGTTTCATAGCATTGAACCATGGCGATTAAAGTGCTATCAAACTGCATTAATTCTACAGTTTTAGTTGCACTCCAGGTTGTCTATTTTTCATGTTTAAACATTTTAAACTTGATTCTGAGCATATTAGAATTCCTGAATAAGTTGCCTGGAAGATAATTATTATATCAAATTATTAAATGAGTATATAATATATTCCTTCTCTGTAAAAAAAACTTGTTAGGCAGGAACTCATGGACGGAAAGAAGTGTCTTATGAACATAAGGGGGAAAATCATCCCTCCTTATTTCAAATCTGAATTTGGCATGAACTTTCTGCAAAAAGAGGTAAGCATTTGGTTGTTGGAACTTTCAAGAAATGGGCCAATACCATCATTGCATGCTGCTGGGCATGTGCTGGACCTTATTTTCTATGGGGCAAGGGATGATAGTGATGCTGCTGTGGAGG